CATTCATGGATATAAGGTAAATAATTGCCAAATTTACATTACTTTTTTTTTCTTTTTACAAATATTACATCTCTGGATGCCTGGAAGTAGTCCTTTTTGTACACTCCATGATACTGGTGGTCAAGAAAATCTACTAGATGAGCCATGAACTTTTTGTTTTAAAAATGTTCTTCGTCCGGATGTGCCTGAGAAATTTAGGGATGCGATTCCTCCCATTTTCAAATTGAATAGTCTTATGGTTACGACTTTCTCTATACCAAAATCGCGTGTTTTTCATGCGGGCTCAATCAACATGACGAACACTGGCTTCTTTTACCTTAGTGCACTATGGTAAAAGAAGCCAGTGTTCGTCATGTTGATTCGTCAAGAAGCATGCCTCTTCATTCATTCATGTTCATGTTCTCTCACTCATGTTCTCTCATGATTCATGTTCTCTCACTCATTAGAACTCCTCATTAGGATTAGGCCTCCAAAACTGTTCGGGGTAATACAACAGAGTTGCAGGGGACAACAGTGTTTCATATTGAGCTTGTACGTGACATTCTACTGAGTATTGCACGTAGATAACACGAGATCGGTGTGGTGACAAGAAGGATCATAAGAGGAATCTCCTACATGACTGTAGGCGGCTCCGACGTGATTTAACGTTAATGATAATCACGAAGAGATCGCCAGCGTGTTCGAGGTTCATAATGACTCCGTTGACTCCTTAAATATACCATTACTTTATTGTGACAACCAGCTTTTAAATTTTACGTAAACGTGATGTCATTTTCATGGCAATCGCAAGAAATTTACATTGTTTGCAAAAAATTGATATCATGTTTATGTAAACATGCTGCTTGGGTGAATGACTCAATCACTGATTGACGGGCTGAACGTAATAAATATTCCGGAATTTCGTCACACTGGTGTTCACTGCTGCAAGCTGTGAGTCTGTGGCATAAACCGTCACTAGAGTACTGGATGTATTGATTTTCAACTCCGCCTTTTTTCACAGTAGAGTTAGGATTCGTGTTGGAACTTGACTGAGTAAAATGACCCGTGACTGCCGTCTCCCAGCGTATGTCGCTGGCAGAGTGGTTTAGACGTTTAATATCAGGCATAACTCGCTCGCAAAGGAAGTGAATATAGCCCCAGCACTACTAACCGAGCTACCAGCATGAGGGAGAAGGAATTCCTGGACGCGATCCAGGATGCACTCCGAGTCTTCAGCTTACAGTAGCCAAATGTAATGAGATCTTTGACACCATCCGGCATTCCATTGCCTGTAAGAATTCACGCGTTGTTCTTCCATTTTATCCAGCATTGGTTTGACCCAGAATTGACAGGCGACTAGAATTGAACTGGAATTGAACCTAGAATCTAGAATTGAACACTTTTCTAAAGAGAAGTGCGTTAATAGAGAAGTGTGTTCATTTCCAGATCACTGTCCTTGCATTACGTCATTTTTCTCTGCATCTTGGTGCAACAATATGGGGAAATTGGATATCTGCCGAGGAACTCATCGCACTACCGCGAGTCCCGTGAAAGGTCCGAGCAGAACCTATCACAAAAAGGGGAAACGCTGCACGAAATAGGATCCTCCTGAAATTCACGAAGTAAATAAACTAAGGCCCGCGTGGTTGAGGCAGGAAGGAAGGCACGGGATGAGGGGACGTGCGACACCCGAAGGAGACGGGGAAGAGAGAGAGAGAGGGTGAGAGAAAAAGGAGGAGTGGTTCTGACCTTGAGACATAAGATTTCAGGAGGAGAGAAGCTCTTCCAGACGGAGAGGTCGAGATTTGTGTAGTGATGGTTGGACGGGATGGCTCGTTTGCGCCTTGTATGAGAGGAATGTCTTTTTGGGAAGTGATTCACAGGATTTAGGGAATTTTAATTGCTAAAACCCTATTTCATCAGTGAACCAAGTGTAGTGTCGGTGCACGAACTTTCTACTGCTATCGTGGGTTGCACTTGCGTTTGGAAGCGAGGTTAGTTTCCAAAAGTTATAATGTTTAAATGTTTTTCCTAGTTAGTACATTTTTACTTGCACATGTTTCAGTGCATGAAGTGGTACTGTTTACTGGGAAGATTAGCCAAAAAAGAAGCAATATTGAAGACCTTGAGGTTGGGAGTCCATTTTCCGCATTCTTGGCCGTTCAGTAGGTTTCTCAATTCGTTTGAAGAAAGAAACAAGGGTTGACATCAGTTGGCAATTTAGTGGTGGATGAAAGCCTCCCTCTTAGAGCCCTGCTCTAAGCCTCCCTCAAGCGGTCCCTCCATTTATAAGAAGTCAGGCGCGTCGAATGACTATTACCTTCTAAGGGCCAAAATTGCTTGTTTCAGTTGAGCGAGAAGCCATAAGGATAACACATAACAGCGCATGGGAATTTCGACCTGATACAGTTCTACATTCCTCGTCTCCCTCCCTCTTAGAGCCCTGCCTTCAAGCATTACTCTTTCATTAGAGCCCTGGACTCAATAATTTCTTTAAGAGTCACTGGCGAATTTCTGACTCTCTGTTGGAGTTTAAGGGTCCATCTTGCACACCTTTTGGTCTTCTTCAGACCCTCATGGGCAAGGCACTTCCGTAACAGGAGCTTAAGAGATAAAATTCTCAGTTACACTAGGATCCTTCTGAGAAATGGCAGCACCGTGAGAAATTGCTACTTTGTCCATATAAGTTCTCTGACGACTAGATCGGGCCCATATTCACAGTTTTCTTAATCACCTTTGCCACTGTGACAAAGGAGCAAGCACGCTCACTATTAAATTTGACCTAATCCTTCACTTAGTGTCCAAGCTTGCAGCAATTGAAGACATACTCGTAGGAGCGAATTCTTTCCCTTGCGAAACCCTTTGAGAAACTCACTGGTGGAACTTTGCATAGTCCTTTGCAATATTTTAATTGTGTGTGACATATATTTGAGCTTTTCTCCCCCAGTTTTTCCATGGCGATTATAACTGAAACTCCATCACATCGTGCATCACGATGTTGGAGAGGCTCTAACTTCTGTCGAAAGGTCTCATGATGCAGCTGAAAACAATTTTCCCTTGAATTTATCCTCCGAACCATAAAAGCCCTCTGTTTTCATCCGACAAATTTTCTCCTCTTGCAGGGATCCCGAAAGAGTTGAAGGAATGTCGGACCAATTGGAGATAGCAGGTCTGGGAAGGCCCTTCTTATTGGGATCCCTATACGACAGAAGAAACGACAGGCTCGTTGCTGGCGTAACCCTATGGAATGCAGAAAGTTTGAAAAAAAATTGCATTGAAACGGATATCGAATCCTTCTTCGATACCGAGGTCACGATCGTAGACGGCTTTCAATGTCAGAGTTCTGCTCTGAACATGGATGGCAACCTGAAACTCAGCTTCCTCATGAATATGGTCGAAGTAGGCGGTAAGTGTATATTCCTTATTCTGAAATTTGACACCTGAATTAAGATTGTATGAGGTCTCCCTTGGCCTCCAGCCCCCATTCTCGCCGAGTCTCTGGAGACTCGTGATGCTCTTTCGAAGTCTATCAAGTCTTGAAAGGCTAGAAACGTGCGAGCAAATGTACCAAATTTCTGCCGAGTTTGAAGAATTTCATCCCGTTCTTCAAAGGCAATTTCTTCTCAAATTTGAGGTATAGAAAGTAATTATCAATCTGAACGTAGCCCCATTTCAAGTACGCCAGGTTTCCAAGGTCCAACATGACTGACAGTGCAGGGGTCTGTTCCACAGAAGATATACATGCTTTACGCTACAAGTTACAAATATTTACAAGGGTCGTGTCTTGGTCGTGTGGAGTTTCAGCGGGAACCTCTGGAACAATTAAACAAGAAAATACGATCCTTGCAAGCACTTGTAACTTTTAAATCTTCTGTGGAAACAAGCCCCTGGTGGCTGGTGGCCTGGTGACTCTTATGACGCCTCTTATAATATCTCACTCTATTTATTTATTTATTTTTTCTCCAATGGACAATGCCATCAGGCTGAATGGATTACTTGTTGGATTGTCCTGTGCCATATCGCATATGATAATCGCTCGAATGGAAACGAATTTTCCTTTTCGTTCCAGGATCAGGACATTACCTGAAGGACAGAAATTCGTCATCGCGTGAAGCTCGCGTGGCCCTTCGTTTCAAGTCCCTCAATACATACGAATGCTTGACTATGGAGCACCTTTCCAGCGAAAAGATCGAGTTTCCAAACATCGATGAGAGCACCGCGACCCACGTTGTCACTGGAATCCATCACGGTGCCGATGCTTTCTTTGTATTTCGCCAAAAAGTGAGCTCTCGTGAGGAAGCTAAACGTTGGGGAATCAAATTTAAGGGGAATCTGGAAAAAGCTCTCCAATGCCTCTCAAAAGTCACTGGCGAAATTGACGCAAACGTACAATACCATGAATCAAAAGGAGAAATGAACTTTGAAATGTCTTGCAAATACTACAGTGACATACATCTTCAAAAAATCCCCACTTCCATCGAAGAAGCCCTCGAATGCTACCGGGTTTTCCCAACGCTTTCTCGTGAAAAATGCGTGCCAAAGCGGATCTACCTCTTCCCGCTGCAGAAGCTTCTCCGTCGGGATGTGCAGATGGTTCGAGATATTAGCATGCGAATCGTCAACGAAGTGGAGAAACTTCTGGAAGGTCTGTACGGAAGGAACATCAAAGCCAAAGATCTGGCCGTTTCCGGTCTGTGCGAACAATTCCCGGGACTTAAAGCTCAGTTGCGGGACTTCCAATCGCTCTTGGATGATTTCACGTTGGTTTTTCAAGAGCAGGTGAAGCCGTTGATGATATCTGTCCGTGCGTTCGAGATGGAAGATCAAGTTCTCTTTCGTCTGTTGGAAGAAAAAAGAGCGTCCCCCTTCGGCCTGCAGAAGCTCTCCGATTGGTTGGAAAACAAGGAGAGGGAAATGAATTACCTGACGAAAAATCTGAAGAATTTACAGCTTCCCGATGTAGAAATGGCCCTTTCTCCTGATGAACTTGACTCGTTTCTCCTCGACTTGAAGGCCGAAAACGTTCTATGTTTCAGATTCAAGGTCATGCCAAGAACAGACGCATATCTGAGCCTTATGTCTCGATACCTAAAAGAAAAGGATACGGAGACCTCTCGGGATGAAAGTCCCAGTTCCTGGTACGAAAACAGACAAGAACTGCAAGAGGGTCTGGAGTATTTCCGGGGGATGCACGAGGCTCAGAGGGAACGCGGCTTCCGATTCGTCGTGACTCAGGAGGTTCCCGCGACGGCCAGCGAATCCCTTTACGAGATCGTCTACTACAACAAGAGAGTTGCAATGCCTTACCCTCCCCCTTTGATACCGGGAACTCCGAGAGCTGTGGCGGTGACAGAAAATTCCATCGAAGTGAAGTGGGATCCACCGGCGTGTGCAGCAAATTCTGTCAAAGGATACTTGGTCTCGTACAAGTCTGACATCGACGAAGAGTGGAACACGCACGTGGTCGACGGGAACATCGCGGGGGCCACCCTGGGTGGCCTATTACCCAACACGGAATATTTTTTCAAGGTGAGTTATCTTCTTCGGATTTCACGATTCCCCCTGACACTGCGTCGAAACAACAATGCGGAAGAGTGTGCCTTAATGCACCGAGACCCTCAACGCCGTAGTTGAATTGCCTCTTCCTTTTGGACTCACCCTCGAGGGTACAGCCGAACCGAACGGCGACACAGGGAAACAACGGGTCTTGCCAACCATGAGGCACCCTTTTCCTCTGCAACCAGAAATGTCTCATTTTTTGTCTTCGCCTCAGGGCTTAGCCAAAGAAACTATTGTGGCCGACGATGGGTCAATTGGGTTAGAAAATGGACGCGATAACGAACATTTTCTATAGAACAGATCCAGGAGCTTTCAAAATAGTTTACTGCGATCCTTTCCAATGCACTTGTGCCCCACCCCACTTCACTCCGCCTCATCTGGCTCGGATACTTTCTCCCGCATAAGCACACAACCGGATTGAGGTTTCATAAAATCTTTCATTTCTACCTTTCGCAACCATTGAAAAGAAAATAACCAAATTAAATTAATACCAAAAGTTTGAACTTGCTCAACGTTTCTGAAGATGCTTTTTGTTAAGGGAGTGCATCGAGGAAACTATAAAATCATTCTTACTGCCCCTAATTACGAAAGGCACTCAGCATGTTTTGGCAACATTTTTTTCTTTCAGCAAGAGCTTTATACTTACACAGTCCTTCAAGATACTCACTATCAACATGCAAACATCATTGCACCCTAATCAGCAATTTCTTAAGGCATCCTTGCCACTCAGGATGATATTTAACTGGGAATTGAACGCATGGTGAACTGCAGAAAATGTTCCGTTCCAGCAAGTTCAGCCCATTTGCCCTCCGGTATATTTGATGTTATAGTTAGTTTCAGTTTTCGTATGAAGGGCTTGCTGGAAAGAAGCTTTTGTACGTTCAGGAGTTGACCTGTGGCGCCGAATTCACAATTGTGACGTGTACCTCAGAGCATCGGGAACACTTTAATGAGTGAGATATGAATCCAATGTTGTGTGGATGCCGGGAGAGAGTATCAGGAAGGATGCAGTATCATGGCATCTACGGAGATGCGAATAGCAACACTGAGGCTTTCTCATTTTGCGCAACAGGTGCAGAGCAGTTGGACATCGGGATATACCGAAGAGAGCAAGTGGAGCGATGCAATCAAGACGGATATGCCCACAGTGAGTGAAAAAAGTCATGTTTACCGAAGGGCAAGAAAACAATCCTGGCAAAAATGTTGCAGAGAAACCTCTTCAATGGAGTTTTATAAAATTCAATAGACCACTCATTGTGCCTGGATAGGACTCAATATAGATTGGGGGTCCGACGGTACGGGGAGAAACCGCGTATGTACTGCTACTACCATGTAAGTATTGTTCAGTGGTGGCATCATGTACGAAAAAGCCGGGATGGCCAGCACGTCATCTCCATCATGAGAAATAATTGTTTGTTGTAATAATGGGAGCACGAAGCACAAAAAGGTATTTTTAGGTTAGTCTTGTCGACTGATGAGTCTCACTGCTGGTAGGTAGCTGCAATAAAACGCTGAACGAGAAAAAGTTCCGTATTGGCAGTCTATGTTGAATCGAAAACATGTCGAAACGGCTGTTTCCTCATCTCTGCATGCTTTTCTTCTTTTTTTTTGTCGATAGCAGTTTTTCTCCAGGACCTAACCAGATAGTCAGCAGTAAAAGAGGGACCAAGAGAATAATTTAAGATGTTTAATGTTTCTGTAGGCGCTATAGGGAGGTCTCGATTCTGTCATTCCTAAGCTTCCAGAACAATTCTTTTTTAGCCTGATTGAGATGCAAGGTATATTTCGCATTGCCTCATGTAACTCGTATCTCGTAAGTTTCATACATAGAGCCATGTGAATCTGGAATTTTAAAAATTTATTTCAGGAGCTGCGAGGGAAATCTTTCGCAAACCTCTTCCAATCACGTGAGTCCTACACCTTCACGTTCCATTTTGTTTTGAGCTTTAGGGAAATCGCGCTTCGGGACTTTTGCATTGCCACATAGCTGGCATGATGCTAAACAACTTGGTAAGGGAGTTGCACAACCGCCATTTTGGCTCTTCTTTGATCAAGTTTGCATTGCAACGACGTTTTATGGAAAAAATGGAGAAAATGCAGTTTTATGGATGTGATCGTTGATGAGTTTCACTGCCTTTCGCGCAATAATATTCCGGAAATTCTGCTTATCCATGATAAAGTTTGGTACCGAGAGCGCGATGCCAAAGCGCGTTATTCATGAATGCAGCAACTGGCAGCACTTAAAAGAATGACATCATTTATTACGTTTTGGTCGAGTCTTTTACACCTTATTAGGGGACTCCATCAGCTCAACGAGCTGTTTGCAAGTATTTCAAATCGAGTAGTATGCTTTGCAAAGACGCACTCTTCACGTCAATTTCTTCTCTGACGCTGGGAGTTTTAAAACAGCCCTTGGGACCAAAGCAAGGCTAAGAGCGTTTATATGAAAGAAACTGAAAATTGAAAAAGGATAGAAGGTATGTCAAATCCCAGCTACTTTGCTCCACCCATCATTTCCTCGGCAAATGATTAGAAAATTTGACGAAACTATTGTTCGGCTTCGAATTTCGTCAGATTTTCACCCATTGAATGTGACCTCTCCATGCAACTTCATCTTTACCATCTCGCAACTGAAGGCCAACTTGTTGTTCGACTAGTAGACCTGAACGGCATCCGAGACCCCGACTCGCTTCAATCTAAGACAGCCCAGAGCAACTCTTCAGCTGATAGGCTTCCGTTCAATCTCGCTGTCAGCCAGTCGAGGGATAATGATTAGCCCCCCTTCCGCAGGGGCAAACACACTTGTGTTTACTCCACTCGAATATTGGATCCATCCGTGATCAAGTGTGATGGAACCGGTACCATTCTTCTAGTTCGATGCTCGGTCGACAATGTCTACCATGTATGTCTCTCACTAGCCTCTCCTAAGAGTTCCGGCTCCTTACCACCGACTCATTCTCCCCTAATAAATTCTGACGCTCAAGTTCAACCGAACCTTGCCACAGTCATCCCTGATTATCCCAGCCTTTCCTCTGTCATTGAAATCAGCAGGGGTTTCTTTCCGAATCTTTCACACACTCGCTCTCGCTCTCTCTCTCTCTCTCTTTCTCACATACACACTCTCTCTCCGTTTCTATTGACGCTACACCAGTACTCATTCGTACCAATTTCAGATGTACTGTTAGTTTCTTTTTGGGAGAGTCTTGTGACTGGATAATGTGTTCAGATTTCCCCAAATTCTCATTGATTGAAATTCTCTGCCGTGTTTCTCTTCTCATATTGAAATAGGCATGGTGGCCTGGGTCACAGAGCAGACGAGATGGAATGGGATAGGTGTCATCAATCTCGACTCTCACATTTACTCCATCCGGGCCACAAATAGGCGCATCAAGAACACCAGGGACGGGGAGGAAGTGGACCTGACAGGTGGGATATGGGGAGGGATGAGGAATCGGGTCTTCTTCTTCAGAGACAGGAAGACATTTGTGGTGGAAGTAGGAAGAGATCCCTCCTGGATTCCCCCTTCTGATCAGATCATTCAGTCACTTCCTTCCCTATCCCCTTTCCATGTTTCCTATTCCACATGCCTAATCCCCTGTCCAGTGCCTGAGAATCGATTCTATTTCTTCGGGGCACATTCGAAAGTGAAGTCTGGCGCGGGAGTGTTCATTCCCTCAGAAGGAGAAGGGACCTGGCTTCTTCTTCCAGGTCTCCCAAGTCATATCGAAATGGTAGCAGGGACATCACTCCACAACGGATGCATCTTCATCGTCGGCGGATTGGATTATAGGAAAATGAATAAATCAAAATTGGCGTTTTTGTACGACCCCCGAGAGGGCAGAAAATACGTTCGCCTCCCGGATGTCCCAGAACCGATTGTGGGGGCAGCGGCGATGGAGATGAAGGAGACAGGCATCATCCTCGCTGGCGGATTAACTGATACTGCTGAAGGCTCAGAAGTTTCCTCGCAGGTGAGGATCTTTGAACTAAGGGCACGGAAATGGGAGATATTCCCCTCCTTACGGTCACCGAGGGCTTTCCTCGGCCTGGGAAAAGACCCCAACGACCAACTCATCGCCATCGGTGGGTACATGGATCACAGGAACCCCGAAACTATGGAGGTGATGGGAAAAAGTGAAGAAGACACCTTGGAGTGGAAGGAATATCCCCTTCCTCACCCGTTCAAAAGGTGCGGAAGACCTAGTGTCCTCTTGTGAATCATATGCACTCGTCTCTCAATTAACCATTCGAAGATACAGGAAGTATGGATGATGATTCTTCATTATCACTGGGGAGTGGATTTTTAGGCGCTAACACCTAAAACATGCGCATAAATATGCGCCAAAAACGCAAAAAATATATATAAATAAAATGTCGAAATATGCGCTTAAAATGCTAACATTTGCATCAAATATGCGTTTAAAGTGTAAAAATATGCAAAACTATGCTTTTTATAACCCAGAATGAATTCTTTGGAGGAAGGAACTAGCATGTGGCAGAAGGAACTAGCATGACGTTTCATATCGCCAAGATTCCCCTTCTCCCACAGATTGAGTAAAGGGGAGCTAGGAAATAAAATCAGGTACTTGCTGGGCATAGCTGATCTATCCTTGTCAAATCATATGACGGTTGGGATATTTGATTCTCATAAAGAAGATACGTTTTCCTGGGAAAAGTTTTTTTTTTTTCTTCCCAGATTCCCCCCCCCCCCCCCCCCACCCCCCCCTCCCCTCCCCCCCCCCCCCCCCCCCCCCCCCCCTGGAAAATGGACGAAATATGCGATAAAATGTGTAGTCTGAGAAAGCACAAATGTGTATTTTTATGAACAAAAAAAAATCACTTGCTTCCTCTACTAATAGTACATTCTCCTGTCTGGGTCGCATGCTCCTACGAGGCACCAGAAAAAAATATGCAGTCGCACAAAAATCCGCTCTCTACTCATCACTGCCGAAGGAAGTTGCTTGTTTGAAGTACTCTCATTTTCTAGATTCTAATTTACGGGTTCTTCTTTTCTTCCAGCCTGTTATTGTCGGATGTGATCTTAATTCATACAGTTCTTGCTTCCTTAAGATGCAAATAAAGGCTTTTACCGTGTGCCGGGCGCTTTTTTGCACACTCAACCTTGTCGGCTTCATTCCCTGCATATGAACGTGATCATCCTGTCAACAGCAAAAATTTCCGGGAACGGGAAGGTGGAATTCGGATTCCTCTTAAGTACATGCGAATGTTGCTTAGAACTAAAGGACAATACGGGCAATAAAGGGAATACAGTTCATGTCACTGAATCGTGGCAATCAGGCCGAAAGTCTTTTCTTTTTCTGTTTGATAATTCAGAACGAAGGCCCAATGGCAAAGGGGACGAATTTTGTCGAAATCGTCAGTAAATTAACATATGCAGGTAGTTGCGAAATTTTAGTTAATTAGTGTTAGGATCAGGCGGAGAAGAGCTTTGTTGGAATGCGAAGACCCCCGATTCTCTTTATATATCATTTTCACCGTTTATGTGAGAACCTTACATGTTCAAATTACGTGGTCATGTGAGTTTTCATTTGAAAGCGGTTAGAAAATATAAATTGATTCATGAAGACAAGATTTCCCCATGGTAATGAATGCGGAAAACTGAAATTCTCTTATTGAAGTTCGAAAGGCTGTTGCTTACCGTTCCAAGATTAATTAACTTTTTGGACTATTATCAGAAAGAAGTGATACAGAGAAGTTACAACCCAATAATTTTTGCAGAAAGTTTTATAAAGCGTGAAGCAGGATGCTCCACTCGGTGTTTGTGGGCCTTAAAAAATAAATGGAAACTAGTTTCTTTTTTTTAATAGAATATCTCCAACGCACATCTTGAAAGCCACCGATTTTTCGGTACATGACATTCCAGGTGAATAAGGAAGATAGCTGCCAAGTTTACAAATTTTTTCGTACAATTGTAATGACATTTCAAAGTATCAAAAATCGGAATGGACGAGCGAATCTTCATGCTGGTGAAAATCAGGCACGTTGCGTCATGACCGAAAGAAGACTCCATGGCAGTCTCCATGACAAAATCGGTTTGTGACCAAGTCCTTTTATCGCAGGTCATTACAAGTACTATGCATGTATCATATTAAAGTGTGCGTTTTTATTTGACCTGGTGATTGTCCTCCCCGCTAAATTCCATGTTATTTTCACTTTGAAATCCAGTATCATGATTCACATTAAGACTGCCAGAGTGGAGGGCTAGGCTTGAGACCAAGAGTAAAGCAAAAAAAATTAATTACTAAAGATGCAACCAGGACGCAAAGCAACTGTTATAATACATACGATGCATGAAAGAGTAACTTCCCCCATGAGAATACTTGCCCCCTTGCACTTAGAGAAGCTGCATGAAGTTTGCGCCTTCACTGAAAATTTCCATCTACAACTTTGAAAAATTAGTCAATACTTTCTGGCACTTTCGGAAGCATGTGTTTCGCAATCAATTTATTTTTGCTCTTCCGACGATCGGCGTGCACTTCGTCCTAGAGCAAATACGACCTACCGATTTCCACTATTGAAGTAAAGATGAACTCGTGACGTCCCGGAGTCGCGTCCAAAAGGCGTCCAAATAACGCATAAAACACCAAAAAATGGTGGACCATTTGGACGTTTTATTCCTGCACTTCCGATGTCTCGCCCAGGAGAGGAGTAAGTTCACGACCTACTCATAGACAAGATTTGACGAACTCCAGCGGGACGGCCTCACGCTGACTCCCTTCCTTCGCAAAAAACCGTCAGTTTCCGAACTGCCACGGAATCGGTTTAGACCAAGGAAGCAGCGATGGACTCCTCTCGATTCAGAGGTGCTTCTGTCCGAGACCTCTAATACCTACCAATGAAGAAGCAGCAATCAGTTTTATGAGAAAAACTGCTGGGTGGAATCCGACAAATGAGGGACCGTTGCACTTGACAGTGTTTCTCTTATCGTATGGATTGATACTTCCAGTAAGGAATCCTCAGAGTGCTCAGAACAAAAAAAAATGCATCAAGTTCAGCTCTAGAAGTTAGTTGGAATCGAGAGATAGTCTTCGTTTTCCGGTATGATACCTCTGAAACCCGGAAAAGTGGTAATTCATCATCATTCATCGCGGATATCCATGCCATTTTTATAGCTTTTCCAAGTATTTGAATGCTAATTCGAATGAAACATTTAGATTTCATGACAGGTTCTACTTTTCTTCATTTCATTTTTCTTTCTTTAAGTTTATTCTCTAGAGAGTTCCATGCACATCAAGATCATTGGAGGAATTCCCATCTACCTGTATTTTATTACCACGTTCACATCTCTGCAATCCGCTTTCTAAGAAACAATGAGACAGTGAGTTGAGCGAGTGTGGCCACTCGTTCCGAACATCAACTGACTCTTGTGGCTGCCGTCCTCTTTTTTTTTGCGCGTGAGCGATGGTGATGAAAATGAACTTTTTAGTTCGGAAACCCTGCAATCCTGATCTTTGCTTGAAAATGCGAAAATAATTCCCCACCTCTAGTGCCTCTTATGCTTGGTTTTTCTCATTTAGCTGACGATGAGAAATTTCTCTTTCTCAGTGCTAGGACAAGTATCTTCTCAGCTTTTAATTTTGGCCGGTCATCCAGGCTCCAGGAAAACACGATCCCTATTACTATTAGAACCGCTCGTCCCCCATTTCGGTTCCTTTTTTTTCTTACAATTTTCAAGTTTAAAGTTATTTTTCTTTCAAATTTACAACTAGAATGCTTGAAAAATCGCAGGGATCTTTTGTTCATTTCCTCATCCCTTTTCCTCATCTCTCTCTCCCGAAACTGAGGGCGGTGATCGTTCTGTGGAGAAATCCGTGTGTCCTTTCACACCGCCGGACGTCGGACACTAGATGAATGGACGCCGGATACTAGGTGAATGGACGCCGGAGACCAGGTGAATGGACGTCGGACAATAGGTGAATGGACGCCGGACACTTGTCTCGCTATCACCCTGCGACTACATTTCTCAGTCGCTCGGCCTCATTCTTTCCTCAAATGTGGATTTTTACCTCTTAATATTTGGGGAGTATCTACTTTGTTTGATGGGTGTCAAATTGGTGAAACTGGGAATGAATGTCCTTTACTCAGAATATTCCTTCCTACTCTTTATAATCCTCTTTTATCATATACGTTGACGCCATCTCCCCATTGAGATACAATAATTGCTATCGCATCATCTAATGTTTTCCTGAACAACCGAATGATCGCTGAATGCAATGGACATGGTTGCATGCTGCAGAGATCAAAGGTGAAGTATCGCAAGTATCAAGTATCACAGCCCAAGTAGCAAGTATCGCGTCCCATCTTAATGGTGGTCCTTGTTGAATTCGACGCCCCATCATAAAGATATGCCCATTTCCTCGAGAGAGAAAGTTGTGTTTGAAACGTTGACTCCGACACCCTTGTTGCACACGGTACCATCAAAGAATCACCATTTCGATCGCAGTTTTCGACCAACACGGGGAACGCGGAAACAAAATTCTCTAGCACGCGAAATTTCGGAAAGTGATTCCAGTGTGTGCACGAGAATTTCATTGTGTTTCAGACTCAAAACCTCTGCATGAAGCCAAATAACTGGTTTAAAAGTGAAGGGGGACGACTTCCTTAACTCCTTCAACTATCACTATCACTAGTTGAGATCCTTTATTAAGCACACGACTGGGCAGGCAATTAAGTGCCAGCTTGTGTCCTTCGGTGGCTTCATGTTATCTGAGCGCCCATGAAGCGATAAGGCAGGTGCATCGATATAGCCAGCAATTGTTCCCAGAAGTGGGCAACATTTTGTGCATTCATCTTATCCTGTTTGAACACGGTACAAGAATGTTCAGGTTGCGCAGAAAAATATTTATATACGGTTCTTCTCCTACAAGAAAATGAACTCTAGCGAGTTCCTTCTGTTTCTTCGTCCCCACTGGCAAGTTCATCTCGCTCTCGTATTTTTTCTTTTTCCTTCCCTTCGATAGTTTACCTTTACATGGTTCCGTTTCTTGCGGAAGTGGAACTATATGAATGTAACGCTCATTCCTTCGCCCATACAGAGAGCATTCATTGAGCGTCTGGAATAACTGGAATTTCTGCATGCTTGCATTTGAGAGAGCATTTGAGAGTACCAACCGAGGAAGGGGTGAGGGGAGGGGGGGGGATGTAGGATACTGCAAATGTTTAAATTTTACTCATTTTCTCTTGGTGTCATGCAGGTGTTGAGAGGGTGTCCAAGAAATGTCTGACATAGTGGAGATAGCAAGTCTCGGAAGACCCTTCCGTTTGGGTTGCCTGTACGACAGGAGAAACGAAAAGGTCGTGACTGGCGTCACCCTGTGGAACGAAAAAACCTTGCAAGAAAATCTGGTCGTGCAAAAGTCCGAGTCCTACTCGACGGAGATCACGGTAGAAGACAGTTTCAAAGAAAAGACTTCGGCTCTAAACATCGATGGGAACCTGAAGCTGAGCCTGCTCGTTGAGGTGGTCGAGCTGTCGGGTGAGAAAACCAGGGCTGCCGATGCCATTAGCTTAACTGGAAGTAATTGAGAACGAGTAATCGCTCGCAATTTTAACATTTTAAAATTAGTTTTGGTTTTTAAATTATACTGACAAAAAAAAAACTTAAAAGAAAATGATCGAATCTTAGTCGGTCCTAAAACCTGTCCATTAAGGTCTAACCTCACCACGTGGTGTTAAAGTAATAACCACTTTCGCTGCCGGACAGATTTTTCCGCATTGTTCTGGCAAGACTGACGTGGCGGCGAAAGTGTCAAAACGAATGACTGGAAGATCTGAACCGAATCAAGGACCAACGGCGTGTGTAGTCATAAAGCAGCAGAGGTGGAAAACGTTCTTCTGCTTCCCGGTAACCATGGTTTACCTTCCCAGTTTAGCATTTGCGTGAAGTGACCTTGTGTTTGGGGGCTGAGCAGAGGCGAATGGGGTGGGGGGTGCTTGGCAAGAAATCAATTTTAAGCCACCATTTCTGCTTCAACGAAAATGCTTATGTGTAGGTCCCTAGCAGGATCTAATGGGGAGTGCACAGAGGGGCATAACCATTCAGAAGCTTCCATAAATTTGAAGAAATGTCATTTGAAAGGGTCTTTTAAAAATTTTCTGAAGAGGACCACTTTGATAAATATTTTCATTTCTGAACTGGAATATTAATTTTATTGAATTCATACTTCAAGCCTCCCCTCTGTCTATTCAGTCAGTCAATGGCCCCCGAAACACCATCCGTGTAACTTCAACTTGTATGCTTGCTGCGTTCTTCGCAAGAAATGCAAGCTACTTCTTCCTCCAAAATGGAGTTCAAGAGCTTGAACTATGAGCTCTTTGCCAAAGGGTTTAAGGGTTCAATTAGGGCACTTTGTCGCTAGACACAAGCATGTATTCTCTCAGTGACAGGATGCGTACGAGTTGACAAGACATACGAATTGCTACGTACCAGAGAGTCTGGCATAGGGCCACGTGTGTGAGATGCGGAATCGACAGTGCGAGATGAAATTGGAGGGTGCTCTGATGGGGGATGGAGGTCAATGTATTCTCTAAACTCTGAGGCCGAATAAGGTCGCTTGAAAAAAGGCACGAAGGGTATTAATATTAATGTCGGCGGAAAGCCAGGTGACGCGAGGCTGACCGTCGACCGATTGATTAAAGAGAAAAGGAAGGGGTATCCGAGGCGCAGACGCTGTCTAATTCGGCGATCAGTTTCTCTCGCCTCGTAAAATATCCATTCAAAATTATAATCCCATTATCATGCCGATGACAAGGCCGCCTCATGTCATGTCCATGTCCCTACTTGTCACCTTTTATCCTCATTAGGGCAAGATCCTACAACCAATTGAGGAAATACGCAATACCGAGGTCTTTCCGCCAACGCACTCGGCACGAGAGGAAAAGATCGATCTCCTCGTTCCTGAACTTCCAATATAAGTCACATGGGAATATCTTCCCGATTCCGCTCGGGTGCTTCATTTTCCTGTCCCGCCGATATCATCTTCTCGATGCCTCTTGGGGGCTTCATCTTTTCGCAGTCTGTCGTCATTTACCTTCTTTCAATCCATTACCATACCTTATTCCGAACACTCCGACCGTCATTTGTCTTCTTGCTCTTTATTTTTGCATTATTTCCTGTTTTCGCTCTCGCCTTTCTCTCTTTTATTTATTTGTTTATTCTCCCTGCCTTGCCTTCCGATAACCTGGTTACCGGGTCACAGAGCTTTTTCCATCTCTGATAGGTAGAGAAGCAAGGAGAAGGAATATTTAATAACTGCATGCCATCTGCTTTCTTAAGGCACGATGCTCGTACGAACACACTGAATTGCAGGAGGAGTTTTCGGTGTTGTTGGAACGCACTGAACTTTTCATTTTCATTCTGAATATTCTTTTCCTCTGGCTTGTCCGTAAGCTCGAGAGGCTTTTCGATAAGGTATCGCCCGATCGGAATCAACTGAAAATGGTAATATCAAATTTCATTCGCCACTTTCAGGAAGGAAAAGAGGAGCTCGATCAAAATCCGAAGAATACATCCATCACTCGAATGAATGATCCAAGTCAATTAAATGATCCACAATTAAACTATTCATGTTTTGGTCGATTAGCAGCGCTAAACGTCAATTTCTGGATTTGATAGGAAATCCAGTGAGGCAAAATCAACCTGCGCATATGATATTTCGAGCTCCATAAAGGTTAAGGGCCTTTCAATTCCCAGCAGACGAGAAAGACAAGTGTAAGACAAAGATTGTGATTTTTTAACTGTAGACTTGTGTCGCAGCATTTCCCGCATTTGAGAAGAGGCTGAGGGCTCAAGCAGGTTCTCAAACAGGGCTCAAAAAGTAGAGATGACTTAGAACTATCCCAAAGCTGTTCGATCCTCACCCTAAACTCAACATGCTCTAATTCAGCTTCCGGGGAGGTATAAGTCCTGGCAGGAGGTAAATGCTAACCCGGCATAATGTGACTCCCCTTGAGGTGTCACATTAAGCCAAAAACTTCCGCTGCACTTTAGACGAGAAATGACGGCTGGCGCAAACAACAATGAACCCTTTACGTAACAGTCTACGACTGCAGATTGCAATTGAACTTGAAACACTCCTACGAACAGCAATGGACATTCCTCTTGATATCTGGGATTCTAACGAATTTTGACCAGGCCTGCATGTCCGGTGCTGTTGTCTTTCTTTAAATGACGCTGACGGATATTTAAAACTGAAATATGTACATTTCGAAAATGTTGGCCTCGATCAGAAATTTTATCCATACATAAACGTATTCATACGAATACCGCGAATCTACTGTGCGAAAGCTCAAACGTTTCTTCGAATTGCAATCAGGCTATGATACGAAATTCAGTTCAGATTCCATTAGTTGAACACTAAGGATATCTTGCTAATCCTAACCAGCAAAGTAGGTCTACAAATCGAGTTAACTAATCATCAAAATTTTATTGATTCCAGGATCCTGTCTCTACCTTCAAGATCGGAAGTCGTCCAAACGTGAAGCTAGCGTGAACCTTCGTTTCAAGTCTACGAGTAAATTCGAAACCCTCGCGACAAAACTCTTGCGCAATATCAAGTACCCGGAAATGATCCACCAGGACGTCGCGACTCACGTCGTGACTGGAATCCAGTACGGGGCTGACGCCTTCTTCCTTTTCCGCGAGAAGGTCAGCTCAAGCGAGGATGCAAAGAAATGGGAGGTCAAGTTGAAGGCGGAGCTTCATAAAGTTTTCTCTTGTTTGCCTCCCACTGGTTTGGCGGCGGGAGGGGAGAAGTCTAAGGAAAAGGAGGGTGCGCGGATGACCTGCAGGTATCATGGTGATATTACGCTGCAGAAAACTCCGACTTCCGTGGAGGAAGCGATCGAATGTTACCAGAGTTTCATGACGCTCTCTCGGGAAGGGTGTGTGCCCAAGCGGATCCACCTTTTCCCCCTTCAGAAGCTCGTCGAACGACCCGCCGGGATGGTGCGAGAAATAAGCATGGGAGTCGTGAACGACGTTGAGACTTTCCTGGAGGGTTTGCACGAAATCAAGATGAAAGCGAATGATTTGGCCGAGTCTAGTGTCTGCGACCGATTCCGAGGGATCAAAGCTCAGCTGAATACCTTTCGCTCCCATTTGGAAAGATTCAAATCCGATCTTCAAGAAAAGCTAGTTCCTCTGCTAAAATCTGCCCGTGCTTCGGGCGAGGAAGAAATTATTCTCTCTGGTCTCGTAAGAGAGAAAAGATCTTCCCCTTACAACCTGGAGAAACTCACCGATTGGCTGGAAAACAAAGAAAGCGGAATAAAAACCCTGGAAAATTGTTTGAAACAACTTACTGGGATCAAAATGTCCTTCTCTCCTCATGGATTCGACTCTGTTCTTCTCGATTTGGATGCCCAGCACGTACTTTGCTTCAGATTCAAGGTCATACCAAGAACAGACTCATATTTGCGACTCATGTCTCGATACTTAAACGAAGAGGAGATCGAGACCTCGCCGGATGAAATACCCAGTTCTTGGCACGAGAACAGAAAATGTTGGCAAAATTTGCGAGTGGGACTCGAGTATTTTCGGGACGTCTTTAGAGCTTACAAGAGAGGAGGCTCAAGAGAGAGAGGCTTTCACTTCGTCATGACTCAAGACGGGGGTGGGGATGTCTTGAGTCACGACGAAAGCGACGGCGACTCTCCCTACGAAATCGTCTACTACCACAACGGAAAGGAAAGACCCAACCTCCCGCCCTGGAAACCAGGAACTCCAAAGGCCCAGACGGTGACAGGAGACTCTATTAGCGTGACGTGGGACCCACCGGCATTCGGAGCCGAGTCTGTCCGAGGATATTTGGTCTCATATAAGTCTGATGTCGACGAACGATGGGACGAGCACGAGGTTCGTGGTCACACCACGGAAGCCACTTTGGATCACTTGTCTTCAAGCACAAATTATGTTTTCAAGGTGAGTTTGAAATGCATCGCTCCATGTCCATATGAGGTACAGTCAAACATTTCCTTGCCGTTATACTGTAACACCTAAAATATACCAAGTTTCGCAAAGTCACTTCTCTCACTTCTCAACATAGTCTCCTCTCTCTACACACAGTTGCCACCGTTTTACCCAGTCACTACAGCATTCGGCAAAGTCACTTTGGGTTTATTTTTTAACCACTGGTAGACTGCAGGGTTCGTATCAAATGATATTTCTTTCCTCGCAAGGAATCCGAGATTGCCAAGCAGCCAGAGGTGACTCGGAGCGAGATCTTTCGAATAGGGAGGATGTAGTAAGAGTTGAAATCCTCTTTCAGCCAAGAACTCTGTCACAACGCGGGCAGTGTGCGGTGAAGAGTTGCTCCGATGCAACATGAATTTTCACCAGCCAGTTCCAACTTGTCCACTGCCAGCAAAATCTCAGAAATAGGTACCGACATCTTGCACCAGGACCATCTTAGACCAGGACTACGCATCACTGCGCACTACCCGCGTTGGAACAGAGTTCTTGGCTGAAAGAGAAATTTAACTTTTTCGCCAGATCTCGCTCCGAGTGACTTCTGACTACTTGGCAGGCTCTGTTGCGAAAGAAGTTGAGAGAAGTTCTATGTTGAGAAGTGAGAGAATAGGGTATTTGCGGATACTTTAGGAATTACATCAAAACTGCACGGACTTTCTGACTGCACCTCGTATTCTCGACAGAGGGGTAACATACGATTTGGTACTGTTTCGGCGAAGTTTCCTCCTGAAACAAAGACAAAACATACAGAGATGTATTTGTACTTTTCGATAATATTACTCCTACTACAGTAAAGAGAGAGCTCTCGTATTATGCGCACTGCATGCTTGTAGAGATTCTAGCTTTGGAGGTAAAAATTCATTTTTAAAACCATTAGACACGTCCCCGTATATCGCGTGATTCAATACAGAGTAAACATTTTCTCTTCTCTATTTTGTGCATGTGGTACAGAACACCATGGAAGGCATGCGAAGTTGAAGTGTTCATTGGAATTTGTCTTCATGCGCTCGATCCACCATGGCCAAGAACATAGGGAAAAGATGTAATGTCGTAGCAAGGATGGATGTTCAACGAGATCATGCTGCTTTAGTATTTCTTGATGGGAATGGTGATGGTTATGATGAAGATCAAACACAGCATCAAATCAAACTATAAGATATTTTCCTCAAAATTTCGAAAGTAGCAACAAGATTTTATATAAATTATGTATAGATACATACAGTTTTCCAGCTTAAACTGCTTCCGTGATTTGTTCGTATTGAGTCATGGGTCATGGGGACTCAAAAATCAGCAGGTGCCGAGGTATTCATTATTCTGAATTTTCGGTGGGGGGAGGGGGGGGGGGGGGGGAAAGCCGACATTGAGGGGGTTANCTCGAACAGGCGAAGGAGCCTCTTTCCGTATTCACGAACCTGGGCGACGGACTAATGCTCGGCTGGTCTTATATCATACCTAGCCTCAAGGAACAAAGATTCGCGATGCAGTCTGGCCACCTTACACGAGGTCTACAAACTGGTCTTCTGTCGACCATTTTTTATTGGAGGACTCTTTTTGGGAGTCTCTCGGGAAGCATGGGATAAACGTGTTGGAACCGATGGGCCTGGGATCTTTCGATCCGAGCGCTTAGCTTTGAGACCTGGAGGTTCTCCCTGCATCCTCTCATTCGGTGAGATGCTAGCTACCGGCCGCAATAATCTCATTGAGGCATATTCGCATTTTCAGTCGTTACCCAAAGTTCGTGACCATAAATGAGGGTGGGGGGGTAAATGCTCTAAACAACCGAAAGTCTCACGTCCATAGGTATGTCATATTTGGCAACCACAGTCCTACAGAGTTTCCGCAGTTTGCGGAAGCGCCGGAGATGCAGCCATTGATCTCGTTTCGGATCGCCCGTCACTCGAGAACCAGAACCAGAGGTAATTAAACTTCTCCACCTGTTCCAGTGGGGCCACCCTAACATGTAAGGCGCACTGAGTAGGACTTCTCGAGATGACCATAACTTGCGTTTTGGAGACTCTCAATTTCATTTCGACCGCAGTACGTTTCTTCCCTTTTACAGGTGCAAAGCATTTGGACTCTGGGCAGTACTGAAGAAAGTGACTGCAGCGAAATCAGAACTAAGGCGAACCCGGTGAGTGTCGTGGAACCTCCTGTATCGTAAGCCATAGAGTGCAGAACCTGTATCATCTTATTCTACGGATCTAACCACAAAGCAATTATTGCTTTCACCTGAAAATTTGCATGTCACATCAAGCCACAATGTGATAGAACTACACTCTAGCAACAATCGCTTTCTCTTACCACTGAATTAAAAAATTCTAGAACTTTTCCCTGCACTCGCCGTCAAGCGAGTATTTCAAAAAGTCGAAGCGATTTCAGGCACCAATCACTGGATGCTCGCACATTTGCTTGTCACCTTGTTTTTCTCAAAAGGGTGTGGCGTCCTGGTTCATGGACGAGACGGGATGGAGGGGGATAGGAGTTCTCTATCTCAACCCTCCCAAGTACTCCTTCTTTCGGGCCATCAACGATGTATTCCAGGACATCAGCGACGGGGAGGAAGTAAACATGGGATATGGAACATGGGGAGGAATAGAGAACAGAGTCTTCCTCTTCCAAGGGAAGAAGACCTTTGTGGTGCCAGTGGCAAGAAAATCATCGTGGATTCCCCCTTCTGATCAGTCCGTCCGCTCTCTCCCTTCCCTCACGTCTCCTTTCTACGTTTTCAAGGCGACGTGTCTCGTTCCGTGCCCAGTGCCAGAGAATCGATTCTATCTCTTCGGGGGAATGTCTGAAGACGAAAAGAGGTCCCTGTCAGATGCAGGAGTGTTCATTCCCTCTGAAGGTGGAGGAACTTGGCTCCCTCTTCCCCCTCTCCCAAGAAAAATAGCAGGAGCTGCAGGGACATCTCTCAAAGACGGATCAGTCATCACCGTCGGTGGACTGGATTTTGAAACAAACGAAATGTTAAGAACGGTGTATCTGTTTGATCATCGGGAGGATGGGAGATATCAACCACTCCAGGACATCCCGGAACCAATATCTCGCGCAGCAGCTACGGTGTGGAGGGATACACACGTCGTCCTCACCGGTGGAGTCACCGGGAATGGGGTCGATTCCTCTCAAGTGAGACTGTTCGATCTCAGGGCAGGGAAATGGGAAGTTTCCTCTACATGGCCCTGCCTTCAATCCACAAGGATATTCCACGGCCTGGGAAAAGACACGCGAGACCGGGTGGTCGCCCTCGGAGGATTGCGCTTCGGACCCCTTCATACCATGGAGGTGTTAGAAACGAACGGAGTTGAGCAGGAGGGAGGACACACTTGGAAGTGGGATGAATATCCCCTTCCTCACTCAATCAAATCGTGCCTTTTCCCTCGAGTTCTCCTGTGAATCGCTGACATATGTCTCTCCGTGATCGATGTTCAAAACTTGAGGGAAAATCATCCATGGCATCTATCGACCAGACTATCGCTACAGTATCCACAGCTAGACAAACTAGCTACTAACTGCCAGATGTAATCCCGTTTGACATGCCACAAGATTCCCTCGCATGCGAATAAAGATTTTGGGCCGATTGCATGAACGATGTTTTCCCGGTGTTTTTCGAAAGTCATCGGTTAACCGATGTCTAAGGTCAAAATTGGATTGCACGAACGCTATCTTCCTTTAACCATTGTCTAACCGATGTCTAACAGAAGCTGAAAAGGTGTCGTTTCCAGACAAGGGATGGGGCATGTTTTGCCGATATTTATACCAGCGTTCGTGTACCATCTCGATGAGTATAGTGTTGCAGTGTACTGGTGAGGCACAATGGATTCTGTTTATGGATCCGCTCGATAACGGAGACGTGCTCTCGTCGTCGCATAGGAGGAATAAACATAGGTTCTGGGCTTAATCCCTTTGAAGAACATGTTGATTCGAACTTCCGCGTGAGATACCAATTTGGAAAGGGATCAGGGTATGATGTCGACCTGCTTCGCGCTGAACTCGAAAGGAACGAAGATCGTGGAAGGGATCCCTTAACTTTACATCGACAGATCTTCCGCGTGAGATACCAATTTGGAAAGGGATCAGGGTATGATGTCGACCTGCTTCGCGCTCAACTCGAATGGAACGAAGATCGTGGAAGGGATCCCTTAACTTTACATCCACAGATAAGAGCAATCACTGTTCGTGTGCAATGAATCGTGATTTGTTCAAGTACCCATCCCCTGAGTAATTAATTAATATGACTCGAAAGTAAAGTGAATATCATGAAAGCCTTTCGATTTGCATGTTGTGCTGACCCTTCGATTTTATTTGGCGTCAATTCCTAGAAATGGAATGACGCAAGCCATTGCCCATTTGCATCGCTCATTACATTCCTAGGAGGAAAAACGGAGTAGTTGTACGAAGATAATTATTTGATATTGTCGGATTTCCAGGGGCCCATTCCACAGATTTACAAGCTACAAGTTACAAGTCTATTACTTGTATAATCAAGTTTCTGTTCCACAAAAGAAAATTGTACAAGATTTACAAGTACAAGTTCATCCATTTACAAGCGAATTGAGTTTGGGGATGCTTAGGGATCGTTCACGCAATTGAAAGTAGACAGCGGTTAACCGATGTTTTCGTAGACAATGTTTAAACAATTACTATCGATAGTCAATGTCTAAAATAAACATCGTTCATGCAATCGGCCCTTTGAATCGTTCTTCTAGCACGCTCAACTTCGCCACAATCCTTACATTCACATGAGATCGTCCTGTCAACCACAATAATTCCTGCCAACGTGAGAATGAAAAAATTATCTTGTAATTTGAAGAAGCAATGAGAGGGAGAGAGAAAAGGAGATGACGAAGAAAACACCTCCGAATCCTTGCGAATGCATGTGGCTGCATTTTTACGATAGGACGGGTAAAAAATCCTACGTAGTGGGTCACATGCACCAGATTCGTTTAACTTTAAACTGATTCGTTTTCATAATGGGCGTCTAGGGGAATACGTTTATCTTGGTTAAACTGATTCCCATAGGGAACCATTATGAGATCAGATTAGTTTAGCTTAAACGGATTCGGTGCATGTCACCCAGTATGAATCTCGCTCCTCAGCTTTGAAAAGTCGGAAAATATGAAATTCGAGAGAACTGAAGTTGGATTCCTCATCATATGCGAAAGATGCTAGAACTAAAGGGCACGGTTGATCCAGACTGAAGCCAATTCTCCCGTGTTAGTTCACGTCCCTGAGTCGTAATAGCTACTTAAACCGAAATCCTTTGCTTCCTCTGTGCAATAATTCAGAACTAAGGCGTAAGAGATGCAAGAGGACGAATTCAGTCGATATTGTCTGCAAAAAGTATGCATGTATACGGTTGCAAAATACTGACGGAACTCACGGAAATGTTGCAAATGAAAGAAAGAAGATAGAGATTTTCGCATTCGGGCAGAGTTCTTCACCGTCTGACCCTAACACTAAATATGAGTGAAGCAATGAGATAAACACTTTTCAAAGGCGTTCCCTTTTCTTCAACCTCAACCCTCCTCCCCCATCTCTGAGGGACTCACTAACGCTAGGCTTAGGCCTAACCCACGGACTGTCCTCAGGTCAGGCCTAGGCCTATCTATTTTTCGTTCAAAAGAAGCAATCCTCGACTTACGGGGCCAATCGGGCCTATAAGGATCGATATCGCGGTCTTTGAAACATCTCGTTGAGGACGTGCAACGTTAGGCTGATCCCAGGCCTATTCAGACTTACACATTTCAGTGCGAACGGGGAACGTTAGGCCTATCTGAAGTTCCTCGAACCATCTCGACCCAGGTTAGAAGAGTAGATAAGGTTGGGTCGAAAGCGAAGCCCCGAATAATGGCGGTTCTAGCCCTAGGGCAAATGACGTCACTGGTATACACTAGCCTCGACTGCTCCATTCTCGCCATTGGTTTTCCTCCGATGTAATGNGAAAAGATATCTCCATATTCCACCACATCGACCGGCCACTGCAAACCAACGTTTCGATCTCAACTCATCCCATGAACTCAGCCTAAAAAAGTATCATACATTAAAAAACAGAAGAGCGAGACAACTGATACGAAGGCTGAAGTAGTCATGAATCTGACATAACTCCTGCACTAGATCCAGCAACACTGAGGGACGGAACGGGAGCCAGCAAGTCAGCCTAAACGAACGACAGCTAATTTCATTGTTTAAATGGCAAAAATGGCGCTCGCAAAGAACAAAAGGCACTTTTCGTCATCTACAAATCAATATCTTTTAGTTTGGTACCTTTCATCCGAAACCCCCCAAGAATGACTACCCAAGGGTTGTGAAATTGACTTCTTCAAAAAGCGAGATTCAGTGTTCTTCGCAGCATTGGAGAGATGGAGCCTCAAATTTGCTGGAGCGATTCTGCGTTAATAATATAGGAAGCATGCCTAATGTAGTTTCTATTGATGCTTTCAGAGAGAAATACGAGGAGGTGGAATTTTGTCACGGGAAAGGGTTGAATAATGGTAATAGGCGCCACCAAAGCTTATTGATCACATGGCCGTCATTTGAATTTCCATTTTTAAAAGCGATTACCGAATTTCATTCATGAGGCTGATTCTCCCATCGTTAGTAAATTGTATGAAATACAAACGTGTTTTGATCTCTACGGAGGAAGCGAAAGCTCTCTCGGGGTGGTCTCCATTCGTACTTTTCACGCTTGTGATCTGATATTCGCGTCTGCTCGATTTTCACTCTTATTGTATGGGTTTTCCCATCTGACAGAGCCCTGCCATGATAATTTAGCCACCTCCACGAACGAACTTATCTTACCCAACCTTTCGTATTTCGAGTGTGATAGATATAAATAGGACGTCTAACTTGTAAGTTAATCAGTGTGTACTATCACCTTGCTGAAAACAAACGGATCCTGCGATATTTCTTCGTTTACCCTAGCAAACACGAATGCCCGTATTCTTCAAGAAGATGCCACATGCCACAGTTCTCGTGCGACCCGAGTCTGGAAGAGGAACGAAGTCATTCAACTTCTTCCTTGGGAACCCATAAGCCCAGAAATGGACCCGATGGAACATCTGGATCCTCAGCCGAGAACAACCCGTTCAAGTCCCAACAACATCGTGGAATTAGAGGAAACTCTCCCACGCACGTGGGGGAAAGCTGTACTAGACTGTAATACAAAATCTCATCGATTCGATGCCAAACAGGGCAAATACTCTTCGTGTCGCAAATTGGGGCCTGACCGAATACCATACTATAGATTCGCACGCCATTGCATGCCTTCATTTGCCTTTTCCTGCATCAAAGTAACGTATTGTAATAACAGGCGGTCAAATTATTAGGCAGGGCTCTGTACAAACCAAACTAATAACAGAGGGAGTGAAGGGTTCGTGTGCACCTGGTCGGGGAGAATTGCAGTCATAGCATTTCGTGAAACGGTGCGGGTACATGCATCGGATGTTGTGGAGGCGGGGCAGATGCGACTGCCACAAGCAGGGTTGAGGGGAAGGAACTCCAGGATCAGCTCTAGGGTGCTGCCATCTCCCGGCAGACAAAAACATCTTTCAGTTCGTCCTTCCTTACTTCCGTGGTGGAGGGTGATTTCAGTCTTCCGGAGTCGTCGCCGAGCTCCTTGCACCCTAGTGTCGATATTCGAACTCATTTCGTGGCAGAGGCGAGCTTTGCCCTCGCCTGAATTAGCCCTCGTCTTTTGAGAGCATTCTCCGTGCGAAGTGTGAAGTCCTCCTCCCTCTGCCGGGAGCACTCCATGACTGGGAGGAGGGACTTAACGACCGTAAAATGTCCACATCGTGCTTCCAATATGAGCGAAAAGCACCATAAATTACGCAGCAAATTGGCATCATTTTGGATTTTCTTCTTTCAATGTCTAACGACTCCTTTCGAGCGTAAACAATTCGTGGCATGCAAGCCCGAAACCATTAGCGTCGCCACCCTAATGAAGAGAACAATTGCCAGTGACAATCAAGGTCGGCTTCTCATACCATCCTCGAGGAATTCTTCAACGAGAAATGTGAAATAACATTGAATCGAAATATGAAGCACATCTTAGGCAAGGGCGTAAGTGGGGGGAATTTCACAAATCCCTTTGTCTTTTTAAGCGAATCACCCAAATTCCTGTAAATTGGTTGCACGACATTTTGCACATACATTCTACATAGCCACCGCAAAAACACTTGCACTTTTATATTGTGGTCACGGACGCAAGGCCTTCTGTGATCATTGGAGAGTGGATGATCTCGGTGCTTTCAAGCACACGCTTTTTCTTCAGTTGCAAAGGAAGAAAAGAGAATCAGGCCCTAATGCAGAAACTTCATTCTGGCGAGAAACATTTTAAAATATTTTTAGAGCCCACAGATTCATAAAGGACCGTTAACTGGAGGAAGTTTCCGCATTTGGACCTTAGCCTTAGGTATCCATAGCCGCTTTATCGTGTCAAGAGTAGAAACTCGGTCCGGGGCCAGAATTGGCGCTGTCTTCCCCGTCTCAATTACCCATCGCTTTTTTTTTTCTCGCGTAAAATGCCACATTTAACGTGAATGCTGGCAAGATGCTGAAATGCTTCAGCTGGATTCGCAGAAAACCACGTCGGCCATGAACGTTGGTGCAGCAGTGCAGCAACTGTGCAGCAACAGTGCAGAGGAACGATCCCAAAAATGGCTCGTCGGTAGGAATGGTCGAAAGGTCAGCAGAGATCCTTGAAGCACCTTTATTCAGATTGATGCAAATAAAAACATAGACATGGATCACTCCAAGTGATGAGAAAGTTCACGAAATGAAAATCCATGAACATGACTGAATGAAACCGGAATGCAGAAGCGAAACTTGAAGTCACTTTCGCTCTGCCCAGCAGGGTTGCCAGCACTCGGTTCAAACATCGTCAAAAGGGTTGCCAGCACTCGGTTTAAACATCATCGAAAGATGGTCCCTGATTTTCCGTTGGATTTCTAAGAATCCGCCTTAAAGGCGAGCCCGAGTCCAAACTGATACATGGTTGTGCTTGGCGAATCATAATTTGTTCCCATAACTAGTAGGTCTCGAAACATACCAGATTAAGCGGGAAAACCACTGAGCTGGTACAAGGGTCCAATTCTTGGGTCTGGAGAAAAAGAGGCATGCATCCCCACACATTCACGTTCAGAATCCCTGGCCGACCCAAGCAAGACATTTATATTTTTGGTTGGAGTTGGTCGATCCGTCTGGTTGCTTACAGCTACATTGTTGCTCCTTTTTTTTCTGCTTTGTTCATTACATTCTTCTGAAAGCTATTCAAGCAGGGATTACACCTTCAACCCCCCCAAAGAAACCGTGAAGGGTCCACGACATCGATGCCCTTGATGACGTTGAATGCCTGGCCGTCCTTGATGAGTTTCGTGTCCCGCCTCTCAACCACCGGTCCCGTTATTTGCGGGACTCCAATCGAAATGGTACCGTCGCACGACGAAAGAAAACTGCGAGAGCTCTTCTTGGAAATGCCGGACGAAGCCGGATATCCCGAACCAATTACCCCCGGCTCGCCGGCACACGCTCCAACAATTTAAATCCGTCATCGACCAAGTCCCTAAATCTGCGGAAGGAAGTTGGTACAACATCTCTTGCACACTGAAGCTTTTCTACGTCGTTCACGGAGTTTCTGCCATTGAAAAAGTCATGCGAGAAGGGGACATTTTGAGACAACTGTTTGTTTACCATTTCCTGCGACGGTAGAACGTTCGAAGACTCGAGATGCGTCGAGAGCGCATTTCGAGTGGTGCAAAAATACTGATTTTTCATGGAAGGCAAAGCTAAATTAGAATATGGAAAATACTAATAAAAGCGAAATATATTGAACAATATTCTGCGATCATTTTCATATCCCCAGCCTTTGCATGACACGATAACGAGCAATATAGAACATGGCATATATTTTTGGTGCAAGAAAATGTGGAAGAACGTCAAGCGAACTTGACGCACGGAGCGATCCAAACGCGAGTCGGCCCATTCGGGACGGCGTTGCGGACCGTCGAACGGAGCTGCACCTTCAGGGATGCTTGCAGGCGACGATTAATTCGCTCGAATCGCAGGTTGAGAGTGTGAACAAAGGAAGCAATTAACGTCTGGCGGCTCTGGGAAAAAAGGGAGAAGTGTCATGAGTGAGGTGAGAGTGGAAATAAGTGGCGGAACGTTGCTCTCGATAAGCCTCACATAAACAAACATTAAGGAAACACGAACAGTAGCGTCTTGACACAAAAAAAAATTCGAGGCATATATGCCCTTGCATTACCGAGGTGGCCGATTTGATTGACGCTTTCCTCTTCTCATCCTCATTATCCCCTAATTACGCGGCAGCCGGATGGATCCGACAACCCCCTATTTCACCGAATACCCGTCGTCCCATAGGCAAGATTCTTTTCACGGCCACCTGCAGTCCCAATAACGCGCCTTCATACCCTGACCCCATCGAGGGCTCCACCAGTACTTGTTACTACTCTCATTTTGCACCACGTAGCTTCACATGCATCTTTTGCTTTACACATCCGTAAGGTTACAATGTGCCGCCGCATTTACGCCCGATATGACGTCCTCAATAAACCTGATTTTTGTTTAGACCATTCTGTACGTTCCCAGTAAACTAGTAGTAAGTGAAGTACTTTATTTAGCCATTAAATGCGATGGTTTTCAAGTATTCAATCAGAAGCCAACGCTTTTAGCCTGCTCTGTACCTTCTCTTCAGAGAGGTAGCAGGGAGATTTTTTGGCAATCGCATCAATAGTGCACGAGAGGCAATGTAAAGCGAAATACTCATTTCCTATTCGAGCTGCCAACAAAGACTTTCCATTCGGCGTGTTCACAGACTGTTGGGCATTGTCAGTAGGGCTGATTAAAACTTTCATTTCCCATTTACTGTCTGCGCGTGTTCTGGCATCTAGTTACACTCAGACCGCCGAGAAAGTGATCCGTTGGAATCTTCCATCAGGCACAAAGGCACCAGCAAGGCTTGGAACAGCCCAGGAAGTAGAAATAAAACACAGGAGAGAGAGTGTGTGCTCGGGGCTCAATCTTTCTTTACTTTCGTCTGATAGTCAAATAAACTCGAATCTGGAATTCTCTTTCAGCATGGACATGCATTCACACACAGTTCATGGAGCCGTTCTGGGCTACTTTCGGCTCTTCCCATCCCTCCCGGGCAGAGAAGGATGGCAAGAGACACGCACGACACTTATCCAACAGCAATGATACAAGATCACAGTCAACTTTCTCTTTTCTTCTTCTTCCTCCTTTTAAGGAATGGATCAAGAAACAGTGAGACAGAGAACAAGGGAAAGAGAGAGAAAAAGAGAGAGACAAAGAAGGAAAAAATGGCAACAACAAGGAGACAACAAGTTGGCTTGAGCAAAAAACACCCTTCCTCCCCCATCAAAGTGGGCAGAGAAATGGATACCATCTTCTTCCCTCTGCTCCACACCATTATTTTTTCAAGAGGTATTTTTTAATTCTCGTGTTTCGCACTCTCTTGAATTAAGTTCTCCCTTTCTTCATAGGAGAAAACAGGAAAAAAAAATCAGCCAGACGATTTCTCATCTCTTTCACGCAAGCACGATTCTCACGCTAACACACACACACACACACACATACCCAGGCTTCTTCATTGTACAAATATCTTGTCGGGGAGTGTCAATACCGTCGAAGTGTCCACGGGCGAGATCAGATGGTGGCCACCGTCGCGATGACGATGAGCAAGTGCGCAATGTCGGACACGCTGTGCAAGAGATCAGGAGCAATTCGAGCCAGATTTTCCTTGGCGAAAGGACACGATGGGAAGATGTGCATCACATATGCGTGCTGCAACAGAAAGGCAGGTTAACTCCTTGGAATTCCTTTCATAATCCAAGATAATGCTGTTCATCCAAGCTGAAATTTTATACTCTAAAAAACACATTAAAGACACGAGCGCTCAAAATAAGGTTCATCCTTTCTTGTGTTACTACATTTAATGGATAAACTTTACTACCTCTTTCATAACTTTTCCAAGAGAAACTAAAATGGCAGCAAAGAAAACTATTTCCCACAACAAAATATCCAGATAAAAATTACATATTACAAACACTCAAAATTCCTTAGTGATTGTTATATATTTAGTTATTGTCTGTTTTAAAGACTTGAGCTTAATCAAGAACTTGATATTATAATTGTGCTCTTCCATCAAAGTGGTGTCAATAGTGTACCTGATGGGAACCAGGGCCTGGCATATTGATGATTCCAGCAACTTGTTTCAACTGGAGGTATGAGATGAAACCCTGTGTGAGGTTGTTGCTCTGCTGGAGGACATCCATATGATCGTGCCCGCAGGGGAGTGCAAGGAGCATACAGTGTTCATTAGGCATCTGGATCTTGCGCATCACACCATCCAGCTGCGACTGTTCGAGCCGCATGCGCTGAGAGATGCGCAATGGGGGTGTGGATCCATCTGCATTCACCGGGAGAGAGTTACGAGCCACATCAGCATTTCCACTAACAAAGTGGATCTGCACTGCAGCCTGGTCATTCTTCAAAGCCAAGAGTCCCTGCCACATGATGGGGTAGCGCTGTCATATGAGAGAAAAAGAAAAAAAAAATGATTACATTATAATAATATGTGCAAAACCCATTATATTGGTCACGGAAAGATGACAAGAAAGAAGAAGCAAGCTTCTCACCTTGAGGAGCATGAGCAAGGAGTCAGCCTGAGGGGGAACCTGAGATGCATGGGGAGGTGTTTGTGGTTGAGGAGGGGCAGGAGTGGCAGGGATGAGGGCATGAGGATGAGGATGAGGATGTGGAAGTGGATGAGCATGAGGTTGAGGATGAGGTCCAGGTAATGGTCTCCGATGAGCATGATAAAGATTGGCAGCCACTGGGGAGTCAGTTGTTCGATCTGGGGATACTGATGATTCCAAGTGCTTCTCCACTTCCTTATCTCCTCCTCTAAGTGTAATCCCACCTGGAATCACACAACAGAGCTCTTTAGTTATTTCAGTTGCTCTGCCACCATGGAACACCACAACAAAAGAAAAAAAAAACCTGACAAACCAGGAGGAGTATGATGTCCCAAAGGAGCAGGGTATGGGATGCGTGCATCCCTCAGGTACTGAGGATACCACGGATGTGGCGGGTGTGGCGGTGGCGGAATGAGAACCTCTCCTGGTCCCAGGGTTGGAGCTGATCCAGGGCTTGGGGTGTGCCTTGGGGCACCAGGGGGCAGGAGACCCATGCGCATCATGTCACCCTAGGAAATGAGTTATGCAATTACCTTCACACCAAATGCAACCTATTTAACGGCTGGTTTATCCAACAAATAGATCCATATGAGCAAGATGAGTATTGCAGTGGCAACATAATCCATACTGTACAGTGCAACCTCACTGAGAATGAGTGGGATCAAAGCTGAAGTCTTAATCACTGCCTTACAAACCAATTCCAAAACAAAATGAATTCAATTTCCAATTTCAACTTAATAAGATGACCCTGTGAACACTCACAAGCTGTGCATCATAAGGAGGTGCAATGGAAGGATGAGCAGAGGAGGTAACTCCACAGGGCTTTGATTCAGCCTGAGATAATGCAGGCTGATCTGGATTTCGGTGGAGATCCAGGGGCATTGCTGCATCTTCCACTCCGTCCTTCGAGAAGAGACATAATACAGCATTCCATCAGCCACACAATCACTTCTGGAAAGGCAGAGCACCACAAAAGGTGCCTGTTTGGACTACACATTTACCATGGGCTTGGAGGGAGGGCCACGAGGAGCAGGAACCATTGAAGACAATGTGGTGGGTGCTACAGCTGGAGGATGATGAGGAAATGCTTGCGGATGTGAATGTACATGAGGATGAGGGTGCAGAGGTGGTGCATGAAGGTGAGGGGATGTCTGGGTGGGATAATTTGGAGAAATGCCTGCACTCCCCCCTCCATATACTCCTGGTCCTGGTCCACTCGGCAGCTGGAACACAAGTAGATCAACGTGAAATAATGTGACATTATGGGATGAAAAGAAAAAAGCCCAGAGAGAAGAGTGAAATCTCACCCAGTGTCGAGTTGATGGAGGATTCAGGTGTTCAGCAGATGTGGATGTCACTGGATGGACCTGGATGTGACCTGTCTTCTCTTTCACTTCCTCCACCCGAGGTGACAAAACTCCAGCCCTAAATTGCAAAAAAAAACCATGCATTTAAAATAAATGGAGAATGTGTCCACCCGCAACACAGTCAATCAAAATACCCACCGAGAGGGAGGTTCAGTGTGGATAGAGAGAGGATGAGCCAAGTGGATGGGACCCACTCCAGATGCTGGTCGAGCTGGAGCAGAAGTCACTACTTGAGGTGTTGGTCTCACAGTCAATGTGGCTCCTACACTGGATGCTGTCATGTGACTCCTTGTATGGGTGATGACTGGGGCCAAAGAAGATGATGGGGGTGCTGCGGAGGAACTTGCTACTGGGATGTACTGACCTTCTTCAGCCTCCTTCATTGGAATAAGTATTCCTGTCTCAGGATCAATAAGAGATGTTGGCTCCTCATGTTTCACCTGTGAAGCTGAGGCTGGGGTGATGGTCACTGTCAACTCTTCCTTCTTTTCAGCTGGTGAAAGGACCCCTTCACACCTCTTTTGGATGCCTGACCTTCCATAACCTCCAAGGGTAAGAACAGTCTCTTCTGAGATGTTTCCTCGCACAACATCTTCAATGATGTCATCCACTGTGGATCTTCCCTCTCGCTCTTGGATCCTTCGAGACTTCCGAGGTGAACTACCCCCAGGTGTGGTTCCTGGTGTGGGTTCAGGTGCAACTGGTGCGACTCCTTTCATAATGGTGTTAATGGTAGTCACAACAGGTGTGGTCACCACAACTGGGAGAGAAGTGACAACCACAGGTGTGGGAGCACCAGTAGCAATAGCTGGACTGGAAATAGCAGTAGGGGGTGAGGTGATAGTTGGAGACATGATGATAGGTGACTCTCGATTCCCAGGCTTTTCCTCTTCATCTGACTCGTGGAATTCAAAGATGTCATAAGCATTCTCTTTCCCTGACTTTCCCCTTCGGGCATTGAGTGCTCTCGTGGAGGCAGGAGCAAGAGGAGCTGCAACAGGGGGAGGAGATGAGAATGAAGATGAACTACGCCCACGACCCCCACGACGACCCCCTCGTCCTCCCCGGCGGCGTCCACCACGACCACGACTTTTCTCTCGCTCCCTTTCTTTGTCTTTAATGCCTATCACAAAGTTTTCACGATCACCATCAAGACCATAATCTCCATCATTAGCATCAATGGTCTTCTGCTCATCAATCTCTAGTCGGGGCTCAGAAGGGCTGTCTGGTGTATCTGGTGACTCAGGGAATTCTACATCTGCATGAACTTTTTCTTCCTTCTTCTTCTCAGTCTCCACTTTAACTTCAGGCTGAAGAAGAGACTTATCTCTAGGAGGCAATTCCAAGTCTTTGGAAACCGTATCTGGAGGGACATCCACGGTCATTTGCTCCAGTCCTTCCTCCTTGGGTGCCTTTACCATTGAGTTTGGAGGCTGTTCAGCTGCACGAGGTGGAATCTCTTCAAAATCAGGCCTCTTCCCTTCAACGCCATCCCATTCCAAGCTGGCAACTGCTTTCTCAGCTTCATCATCAGCCACAGTGTCATGATTCACTGCAGGGGCCTGGGCATCCTCAACCACAGGTAGAGAAGGTTCTTCATATGGATATGGGGTAAAAGTCTCTCCCAAGATGGCAGCAACAGCATCCTCAGTCTCTTCTTGAGATACCATGGTCCTTGGTTTCCCTTCTTTCTCACCATCTTTTTTGACAACATCCATTTCTTCCACAGGTTCTGACTTCACCTCCACCAGCTCCTCCTTCTCTTTCATTTCAGATGGAATGACAAGGGAACAAGGTGGCAGGAAAGGTGTTGGTTGCTGAGCTGGGGGTGAGGAAAGAGAAGGTCTCATCTCCTTCTCTTCCAGATCATCATGTTTGCTCCTCTTCTCAGGGTGATCTAAATCATATTTAACCTCCAATGGAGCCTCTCTTGTCAGTGAATCTCCAGATTCTTCCTTGGAGAGGGTTCTATGGTGTCGCTTGTCCCCTCGGTCTTTGTTTTTCTTTTTCTTCTTCTTCTCCTTCTTGGACTTCTCAGCACTAACAGCTGTATCAAATTCTGTACCCTGGAAGACATCAAATATGTTCTCAGTTGGAGTTTCACCTTTCCGACCATGTTCCATGTCATGCACTAGATCATTGAGTAGCTTGCGATTTGACTCTTCCTCCTTCTTTCTCTCACCTCCACTTCCACTCTTTTGCCTCTGCTTTATATTATGATCTTTGTCTCTTTCAACCTCCCTTTCCTTCTTTTCATCCCTCTCTTTCTCCTTTTCCTTCTCCTTCTCTTTCTCTTTTTCCATCAAGGATGCTTCCAGCTTGGCCTCCTCTTCATCTGACATGGGACCAAAGATCTCCTCCAAGGCAGAATCTTTCTTTGATCTGTTCCTTGGTTTTTCCTCTTCTCCAGTTGAAGACTTCTTCCTCTCCAAGGTCTTTGAAGGACGCTGTTTTCTCCCTGATTCCTCCTCTCTTCTTTCAGGAGTCTTCAACCTCTTTCCTTTGCTCAGCTTTCCTTCTTCCTTCCTCATTTCCACTGATTCTTCTTCACTCATCCTTTTACCTCTGCTCAGTTTTCCTTCTTCCTTTCTCATTTCCACTGGTTCTTCTTCACTCATCCTTTTCCCTCTGTTCAGCTTTCCCTCTTCCTTCCTCATTTCCACTGATTCTTCTTCACTCATCCTCTTCCCTCGGCTCAGCTTTCCCTCTTCCTTCCTCATTTCCACTGGTTCTTCTTCACTCATCCTCTTCCCTCTGCTCAGTTTTCCTTCCTCCTTCCTCATTTCCACTGATTCTTCTTCACTCATCCTTTTCCCTCTGCTCAGCTTTCCCTCTTCTTTCTTCATTTCCACTGGTTCTTCTTCACTCATCCTTTTCCCTCTGCTCAGCTTTCCTTCTTCCTTTCTCATTTCCACTGGTTCTTCTTCACTCATCCTCTTCCCTCTGCTCAGCTTTCCTTCTTCCTTCCTCATTTCCATAGATTCTTCTTCACTCATCCTCTTCCCTCTGCTCAGCTTTCCTTCTTCCTTCCTCATTTCCATTGATTCTTCTTCGCTCATCCTCTTTCCTCTACTCAGCCTTCCTTCTTCCTTCCTCATTTCCATAGATTCTTCTTCACTCATCCTCTTCCCTCTGCTGAGCCTTCCTTCTTCTTTCCTTATTTCCATAGATTCTTCTTCGCTCATCCTCTTTCCTCTACTCAGCCTTCCTTCCTCCTTCCTCATTTCCATAGATTCTTCTTCACTCATCCTCTTCCCTCTGCTCAGCCTTCCTTCTTCCTTCCTCATTTCCATAGATTCTTCTTCACTGTCAGTGTAAATATCTGAAGTCCTTAACTTCTTTTTTCTCTCTTCTTCTGGATGAGCATGCAACTTTGGACTCCTCTTCTTATCACTTCCCTTCAATAACTTTGTCCTGTTCTCCTCCCTCTCTTCCATGTCATCTTCATCTTCATCACTGCTCTGGATAACTAACTTCCGCTTCCGTTTCCTAGAATGACTTTGGCTCTGAGAATCGGGATCATTGTCAGAAGAGCTATCAGATTCATCACTCCAAGTCTTGGAATGATGACGTTTAGCTCGACTCTGCTTCAGCCGGGAGAATTTTTCCTTCAGCTGCTCTTGGCGCTTCTCCTCTTCATGCTTCTGCATATTCTTGCAGGAGCGCCTCTTTACTTTGTCATACATGGAAAAATAGACAGGCTCATTCTCATCCACAATTATATCAAAGATGGAATGCTTCTTTGGGGGTTCAGGTTCATAGTCCTCATCACTGGAATCATCAGTTGTCACCTTGGAACGTTTCCTCTTTTTCCCCCTCCCACTGCTCCTCTTTGAGCAAGTACTCTTGGAATCATCTTCAGAGTCATCACTTGCCTTCTTCTTCTCAGCTTTCTTTTTCCTCTTCTTTTCCTCATCACTTCCTGACTTTTTCTTCTCACGCTCTCCTTTGACCTTGTCTTTATTGTACCTCTCCTCCTTTGACTTCTTTTCCTTCATCTTTTCCTTTTCCCGATCTTCCCTGTTTCGCTCTTTCCCCTTCCCATGGTCATCTCGACTCTTCTCTCGGTCTTCCTTCAGTCTCACATGATCTTCCTTGTTCTTGTCTCGGTCTTCCTTCACTCTCATGTGATCTTCCTTGTTCTTGTCTCGGTCTTCTTTCACTCTCACATGATCTTCCTTGTTCTTCTCTCGGTCTTCCTTCAGTCTCATGTGATCTTCCTTGTTCTTGTCTCTGTCTTCTTTGATTCTCACATGATCTTCCTTGTTCTTCTCTCGATCTTCCTTCAGTCTCATGTGATCTTCCTTGTTCTTGTCTCTGTCTTCTTTGATTCTCACATGATCTTCCTTGTTCTTCTCTCGATCTTCCTTGACTCTCATGTGATCTTCCTTCACTCTCACATGATCTTCCTTGCTCTTCTCTCGGTCGTCCTTCACTCTCACATGATCTTCCTTCACTCTCATGTGATCTTCCTTGTTTTTGTCACGGTCTTCTTTCACTCTCACGTGATCTTCCTTGTTTTTGTCTCGGTCTTCTTTCACTCTCACATGATCTTCCTTGTTTTTGTCTCGGTCTTCTTTCACTCTCACGTGATCTTCCTTGTTTTTGTCTCGGTCTTCTTTCACTCTCACGTGATCTTCCTTGTTTTTGTCTCGGTCTTCTTTCACTCTCACGTGATCTTCCTTGTTTTTGTCTCGGTCTTCCTTCACTCTAGCATGCTCTTCTTTGTTCTTATCTCGGTCTTCCTTCACTTTCCCATGCTCTTCTTTCACCTTCTCTCTGTGTTCTTTCTCCTTGCTGCTCTTCTCCTTCTTCCTCTCCTCTTTTCTTTTTTCAATTTTCTTCTTGATTCTTTCCTTTTCCTTTTCCTTTTCCTTGTCCCTCTCCTTCTCCTTCTCTTTGTCTTTGTCCTTGTCCCTCTCCTTCTCCTTTTCTTTCTCTTTCTCCTTCTCTTTCTTAGCTTCCCCCGAGAAAAATCGTTCCCGCTTGGTCTCTCGCTCCCGCTCTCGTTCCTTCTCCCCAGCCTGGGTCACACTCACACTTGTACTCACATTTGCACTTGCAATCACGCTCACAGTTGTACTTCCACTCAGCTCATGCTCCAGAGGTTCAATTTGAATTGGTTGCACGCGCTCCTTTGGACACACAACTGTCTCTTTCACAATCGAACACTTATCTTTGGTGCTATGAGAGGTGCCACTTTGACTAGCTTCGAGGGGCCATAGTTTCTGTGGGTGGGGTTGGGGGTGGGAGTGTAGATGAGGGTCAGGTACTCGCTGATGCTGTTCCCCAACTCCGGGCTTCTTCCCCACACAACTGGGCGGTGGCGGCAGCTGCTGCTGCTGCTGCAGTTGTGGTGGCAGCGGCGGCGGTGGCAGCTGCTGCTGCTGCTGCGGTGGCGGCTGCTCCCTGAACAAGTCCTTGGATTGTATCACAGACTCTTTGGCCGACGGGGATGAAGAAGCCGGGAGAGAGCTGGAACTCGGAGTGGGGAGGGAGAGGACCCAGTTGGCCACAGCTGGGTTTGGCTTCGGGACTTTTATCACAGGAGTGATTGGGGTTGCAGTCGTCACGGACGGGGAGCCCACAGGCTCACGACGTTGTGACGACGACGAAGAGCCAGGACTGTGTGATGGAGGTGTCACCTTTTTGACTGTCACTCGGGGAGATAAGGGGGTAAGGGGGGGAGGCTGAGGAGTGGTTGGAGAGGGCCATGATGGAACAAGACCACCTGAGCTTCCCAAAGTGGGTGGGGCTGACTGAGGGGTCCCGCAGGTCACAGTAGTACTAGTTGTGCTAGTGACCATTGTGATGGTTGTCACAGGCATGGCAATGTTGGTGGCAGTAGTAACAGTCACAGATGTACCCCCTCCTGTAGTTGTACTTGTACTTCCCCCACCACCACTCTCTTTGGGCTTGATTCGACCCAGAGCAAGGAGTCGTGTCCGATCAACTGTTCTCACCGGCGTGGCAGGTGTGGTCGGCTCTGAATGAGATGTCCCACTTACAGTCCCAGGCCTAGGAATCCCAAAAGATCCACCCACAGCAAATGCCCCATGGCCACTGCCACTTGAATGCACTTGCTCATCTTTTCCACTAGCACCACTAACAACAGAACTCTCCAGACGCTTGGAGTCCAGGTCAAACACAGAACTTCGAGAGAGGAGTGACTGGACAATGGGAGACGGATGTGTTCGCAGTTCCGATAGGTCCAAAATGCGAGGCTTGTGACACAGGGCTCCAATATCTGTCCGTGCCAGTGCCTGACTAGCCATCGAACTTGCAGCTTTCCGAGACACTCCTGACCACTTGTCATACCTCCCAATCACTTGGCGAACATGCTCCTCCAGAGAAGAATTAGGAGAGTTGGATCTCAAGGGAGGGGATGATGGAGATGATGCCAACTTACTTGGCTTTTCTTTTTCTTTTTCTTTCTCTTTTTCTTTTTCCTTTTCTTTCTCTTTCTCTTTTTCCTTTTCCTTCTCTTTTTCTCTCTCTTTCTCTTTCTCCTTCTCTCGCTCACGTTCACAGTCTCGTTTCTCATCCTCCACTTTCTTTGCACAGGAATTCTCAGGTGTTGAAGAGACATCAGTTGGGGATAAAAGAGAACTTGCTGATGATTTCAGGGACCCAGGAGACTTAGGGGATGATGTACCTCCACTCAATGCCAAGGCCTTCCCCGTTGAGACCGATAAGGGTGTTGTGAGTGTGTGGGCAAAGAGAGGCAACGGCAAAGATAATGGGCTGTCTGTGGCACGATCCCGGTCTGACCGAGACCAGACACGCCTAGGCTCGTTAGGGATCATGGGTTGTGTCTGCTGATCCTCACCCAATTCATCACAGAGGGGTGTCCCAGGTCGAGAGTCTTCTGATTGTGACTGGGATGTCTCATTCCCCACCCCAACCGGTGTGACCTCGGGTACACTTGGCACCTTGTTGAAAACTGAATTCACCAGCACACTGTCAACTTTCAAGGTTGGGCCTTGAGAACTATCTCCATTCAGAGTTGAATCCATGTCAGTCAAGGGTGTTCCTGGCTCACTTGGCCCATTGTGGGTTGACAGTGACTTCATTGGAGGTGTGGATGAAGGCAGGGATGTTTGATGATGATGTGAGTGATGGTGAGACAAGGGAGTATGATGGTGATGGTGGTGATGATGTGAATGGGAGTGAGGTTTATGTCGTGGAGATCCCGTGCTCACAGGCGAGGAGCTTAGATCCCTCCTCACCCTATCTCGATCACGGTCACGATCTCTATCCCTGTCCCGATCTCTCAGATAACCATACTCTCTGAGGTCTTGCTCATAATCTCCTCCAATATCATCAGCAGTCCTGCCGCATAAAAAATCATGCATGATTATAAAAAAAATTAATTTTAAATGTGAAAGAAAATGAGGGAGATTATCATCCAAATCTTTGCAAATTATAAAGTGCAGGGTGTCCGCACATTCTCTGTATATCCTTGTACTTTACTACAATATTTTACAAGAGAGACACAAAATGTACATATCTACATTTGTGTGCAAACATGTCCAATCTTGAGCTGGGAGGATACCCAAAACATAACCTCATACCTTGGTTTTATTTACTTTACTACCATACTTCATCTTTGTAGAAATTGAGGATGATAAAATGGTGGGTGGCAGGCAATTATTCTCTACAGCAATAATGATGTACACTGTAATCATCAACCACCCAGCTAGATTAACTACCTTTGAGTATAATGATCAAGCACTGGAGCTATTCAAAATGCATTCCAGATGCATAAAAATCCAGTATGAGTCTCAATACTTCGGAAGTACCATATTATGTTGAAGTGTTGGTAGGCTTCAAAGTGCGAGATCCAGTATGATCCCTTGATTTCAGTATTTTTCACAAGATCTTGCCATTTTGTTGTTAGTGTAAATAGTGAGCAGGGCCAATAAAAAACAATTCCACACAATATTGCTGTACCTAGTTATGAATCCGCAAAGTGGCAGAGTCCTTTTCAAATGTACAAAAAGAAAACAGATAATATTGTGAACAAATTAAAATATTCTCTGTCACTACGTTCACTTTCTGACAGTAGGCAGACTTTAAAATGCTAAAACTGCATAAAAGGTCGCTGTTCATATGGTGCAACCATAATGTGAGGAGACCTGCCTTCACTCACCGATTTGGCCGTCTGTCAGAACAGGAATCATAATAGGAACTCCTGCGTCCATTAATAACACTGTACGTTGTTCCATTCCAATGCCGAGAACGTGCATCATAGATTCCAGTGCTCCGAGAATACCATGAGCGTGAGGGTGGCCATTCTGTGAGAAATCCTCCTTTCTCCGCTTGGTCAAAGAAAGCCTCACGACACTCCCGAGATGCAAAATCCAGCTGGAGCTTTTTTCCACCCAGCATTCGCCCTCTCATTTCAGTGATGGCAGACTGGGCCCCATTCACCTGAAGATGTAACAACATATCCAGCTAAATATTCTCTACCATGAGTAATATGAATTTAGCCAGCATATCAGGAAGAATTTCATCCTGGAAACAATCTTAATTTGAAAATGCACAACATCATATGATTCCAAAATGCAGTGAAGAAACCACTCACTTCATGTGTCTAACCATAAGTTTTGAAATTCCAATGAACTCAGAAAACCATTTCAAATTTGTAATACTCAATTTTAAAAATCATACTCAAGGAATATCTTAATATTTTTTTATTCTTTCTCTTTTTCTTCCCTTTTTCTTGCCAGAGGGCTGAATTTTTCCAAAATAAGTAGTTGCTGCATTTATTACACTTCGATAGCAAAAGGTTTTATATTAGCTTTTCTTGGGTGCTGGAGCTCAAAACCATCATGGTTTCATTCATCACTATTCATGACTTTACAGGTCCATGACCCAATAAACTCAAATGACATTATGTCAGCCAGTGCACAAATCGCATTATTCCAGCTTTAAAATTAAATTTTCAAGATACAAATAAGCTATCTTACTTTTAAAATTATTTATGAAATAAATTCATGGCCATACATGCAATAGCAAAATACATCATTAAAAAATTGTATTATACTCTCAATGAGTTTCATTGCACATATCAACATATTTCATTGGTTTTTTTATTATTTTCCTAATCTTAATGACAAACTCATGGGAACCTCCTCTAATCAAATTTATTCAGCAACTGGTCTACTCCTGTAGAAGTCAAAAGTTCACAACATATGCTCAAGTAAACAACTAAGCTCTTGTTATAAACCCAAGAGAAATACTTACAGTTTCAAAGAAGATAAGTCCCTGGCCTCTCTCCCTGTCAATCACCATGGACTGGACTGGGCCAAAGTTCTGCATTTGACGGTAGAGGTAATTCTCAGTGATGGCCTCAGCAACCCCATCAATCCAGACGCAGTTGGAAGGGGTGGAGCGACCAAAACCCATCTTCACCTTGCTTGATCCTACATACTTGTTATCCAGGGCACGAATTGCCTTCACCACACTCCCCACATCCGTGAATTGCACAAATGCATATGCTGTCGGACCTTGCTTCTTTATCTCAATTTCCTGCTTTGACATGGAAAACAATGAACAATATGAGGATGCTATGTAACAGCAAGTCACCAACATGAATAACAAGAACCACTGCATGATGCAAAAAACAGCACATAAACCAAACAAAGAAAAAGAAAGGACATACGATGATTTCTCCAAATTGGTTGAGATGCTTCCTGAGTTTCTCAGCTGTTGTGTCTTTGCTTAGGTTCCCAATGAAGAGAGTCCTGGTTGCCCGAGAGTTGTACTCATCTACTTCCTGCCCATCCACTGGTCTGCTCAAAAAAAATTTTTTTTATTAAATAAGAATAACCCAGAAGAGACCTACAAAAGAAAAGAGAATGGAACATTTAAAATTAGGATATAAGAGGGAAAAGAACTTACCCATCATATTGGCAAACTTCAATCTTGCAGCCAAAGAAGAGCTTATCTTGGGAATCTGCCACAGCTTCCTCAACATCTTGAGGTCTGTGAAGAAAAGGAAAAAGAAAAGAAGCATTATCAAAACATCTTCCAACTGTTCCTTCCATTTCCACAAGGTAGAGTCCTGTCTATAATTGGAACAAGAATAAGACTACATTAACCTTAATGCACTTCTCATCTCAGAAGCTGTTTTAGTGTCCAAGACAGGACAGAATTAACTGACATGCAGGGGAGGAGAAAAATCAGTGTTACCAAGCAATGCCAATCGTATGCTCTCCTCTTTGTCTTGTCAAAGCATGCAAGAGATTATGTTTCTTGAAGAAAATACCACGATGATTATTCATGACATGAGAGATTTCAAAACAAGAATTCCATGCATAACAATGAAATTTTCTGAGTTGGAGAAACTCAGGCAATAGCATGACCTATGAGTGGCGACCCAAAAGTTTCTGCCCTGGAGTAGTAGGAATGATCAGAGAAGGCTGAATTTGGCTCCCATATTCCTTCATCCTTTTTGGCAATTCCAAGATTCAGCAATTGGTTTTAAGTAGGGCTGTCACGATTGATCGATGCATCGATACCACTATCGATAGTTTTTTTTACCATCGCAATGCATTGGCAAAGTACTTTAAAGGGGAAATGTCCCATTGGATTGTACAATACAGTCCGTCCGGGCAGGGAAAGGAAGAAGCGGCGTGATCCACATGGGCTTGCAATTTATTATCACAATCAAATTCCGGAAATGCCGGGACTGACTATAATTTTTCTCTTCTGTTTCTGTCTTCGGCTCGATCTCATCAGGTGCATGCTGCTGAAGTGCGGAAGTACTTATACTCCCTTGATTTCGAAACCTACATTGGTTAATCCCCTCTCAATATTCCTGTCTATCACTTGAGTATGCAGGCTTAACTTTCTTAATTTTTAACTTGCCCTGGGGTATTTATCTCTACTTAAAGTGAACTCAAAGTGAATTTTTTACATGGATGTTGCTCATTCTAGGGCTGTACCGATGTTTCGGCAACCGCCAGTATGGCACCATCAGCAAGTTTCCTATCTGGCAGTGCCGATGTCCAAAGACATTGTAGAACAAAGAAAAAGAAAGAAAATTACATGAACGGATCTTGGCAGCTGATTCTCAATGATAGGAAAAAATTAGGGCTGTCCTGATGCATCCATCGATGAATGGATGTCATCTTCGATAGTTGGAGGCATGGTAGGTTTCTTTACTCTTTGCGAAGGTCACATATTCCCCCTGCACCCCAATCACAAGTGTGAGATAATAGAAGCCGGATAGCAGTCCGTGCTCCGATTGCGGCGAGAAAAGACAGAATACTCTACTCTGCCCCCCCCCCCGATGCATTGATACACTATCGATAGTTCAGATCGATGCATCGATGTTTTGAAAACTGCTATCGTGACAGCTCTAGTTTTAAGTCATAGTATTTGTGCATGTGTCTGTCTGTCCTTAATGCACAGCCATGCCTCTGACCCCAGTCTGACAAAACTTTGCATGGCTTCCTCATTTGGTCTGGGGATGGTCATAGGCTAGGTGGCGTTTCAAAATTCAGACCCCCTGGGGTACCTTATTTAGTACTTATTTGGCCGATTCACTACTACAGATCCCCACCCCAGGATTTAAAATTTTGGGGGGGTCAGTACAAAGTTGTATAGGGACCCCATGTTTCTAAATAAAATTTATGTTGCACCTCACAGCGTACCTCACAGTGCTAGTATATGATACATTCCAGCCAAAAATTCATCAATTTAAAAATGGGAGAATTTGAATACAGAGCAGTTCTTTAAATTTGAATTCTTAATTTAAATATTCATCTGATATAAATTTATTTATCCAAATTTAGCTCATTCAATAATATAAATTTAAAGCAAAATGAAACAGCCACAATAGGGAAACTGGCAATGATGTTAATTCTCTGAAGCTGTTCAAGCCTGTTTTTAGTCAACAATGGAAAATGAATTTTTCCCAATAAATTGAAGCCTTATTCCATTAATGGGGGACAAGCATTGATGTCCAGGGAGTTAATGCTGAAAAATAAAAAAAAAATTAAAATAATAATTTGTTTCAACAGTCTATCACATTCCCTCATATCTCAGTGCAGAAACTTTCTGGCCACCCTTTGTATACACAAAATATAATGGGAAGATGAATCATTTAACCTTTACATGTTGAGCATTTCCAAATTCAAACAGAACATGTTATCAGAAAATTTTGAACTTGCCATATTCAAAGAGCATGGAGTCTTCCTTTACACTCCGATAAAAGGAAGATTTCATGCTCCTCGAACATAGAAGAATCTAATGCTTCCCCATTAAATGTTGTTTTCAAATATGGCAAAATTTGCATTTGTCTACTTTCATGCTGTTCGAATTTGGAAGCATTTGGCTTGTAAAGGTTAATGAGATCAATGTAAGACAGAAAAATAAGATAGAAGTGATTTTCAAAAAATATGTGCATTTGAACTATTGTTACATAGGAAACAATTAGGAACTTTAAATCATCATGTAATACAGGGTGCCTAAAACACTGTAATAATGACTTTTTCCAATATTATATTGAACTTGATTTTTGAAATGTTGCATTTGTTAGAAAGAGAAGAGATTAAGCTTTCATCTGCTGAAAATTGACTCTTCTGGAGCAAGAAAACAAACAGTGAAAATTAGACTTTAAAAATGTACACACCATTATTAAAGGACACATTCAAGGCATGCTCCTCAACACTAACAACACCCCCATCAGACGCTTTGCGAGGTTTTCTACTGCTGACAGACTTGTTCCAGCTCTAGTTTTAGAGATTGAGAGAGATGGGTCACCAAGAAGATTCTTTCATTCAATGAATCCTGCTGCATTTTTACTGAACAAATGCCAAAGAACCAGCAATAAAGTGAAGTGTCTCCGGTAGTACACCACCATGTCTGTTGGTGAACCATCAATTTTCCTAAGGTAAACTTTATCTCTCCATATCTCAATTCTGAGTTCATTGATCTTTGTACAATCTTCAGCATTGGAAAGCTTAACCTCTTCTAATGTTAACCAGTTTTAACCCTTCTAACATTAACCAGTAAAACCATTTTCATTCAATTGTAATATATCACAAGAAAAATCAATTCTTGCAGCATTAACTTTTTTTAGAGACACCCTGTATCTTCTATAATGCTACTACAATGTTCACATTGCTGTCATTTCTTATTCCTAATTTAATAGTCCTACTTATACCATTCCTCATTGCATATCTGCATGTGCATGGTGAAGAGAGTGAGCAAAGAGCACAATAATACTATATGCAAAGAACTCTTCTTCCCTGCTTTTTCAAATGTGTGATGCTAAGTGAATAACTTTTGAGATGCACCTCACAATGATGTTTCTCATCTCCTCAATAACATGAAATTTGTATCTCACCTCTTCATTTGCTGGGAATTGTGATGAATATTGGATTGAAACTTATAATACTGTCAAACATGAACAGCATTTTACAAATTTGAAGGATGTGAATGGTAGGAATTCAAGACAAAGCAAAATCCCAAGGTATTCACAAGATTACACTATCACATCAACTGCTGAAGGCTATTAGAGAGGAGCCAATCAAGGCTATGATATGGGAGTTTCAATAAAGATGTTCTACAATACACTACTTGGATCTTCTACTTACATGAAATTAGTGACACTGATCAGTGGGATCTTCAAATCCATCTAAATCTTCCTAGTAATTCTTCATTAATGGAATGCAAGCTAAAAGAACCTCATTTCTTTTACAATTTCCACATTAACATAATCTGATGTTAATGTGGACTCAGACTATATGTATTCATCTAGCAAGAGTTCCTCCTTCCCCAGGTGGCCCTTCATTCACAGTCACAAAGACGTTTGAGAGATACTCTTCAAAGATAGATGCTTAATTGGGCTGTTATTTGTGCATTTTCTCATTCTAGTATTCCCAGCTAATCATCCCAATTTATCCCTTGACATCACCTTGCATGTCTCCTAGAATATATCATAGTGCTTCATGATATTTTTAAGAACCAAGAGTCTAATTTAATTTAATTTAAAGAAGGATGCTCTCTACTCCATGACTAAATATGTGGGGATATAAAAGTTCAATATCTGAGAGTTGCATGGTTGCAATATTATCTCCAGGAGATACATAGAACATTGAAATCAATGGACAAATGCATTCCAAAAATGGGAAGAATGCAAAGAACAGCATATCTGTGCAATTGAACTGTGTTTGACTTGAAATGAGGGCCATAGAGTGTGTAGTGCTCAAGGGACATAAAAGGTACTTCTACAAAGGGGTTAGAAACAAGCTGATGGTCGATGCTTGATAGTTTCATCAGTTACATTAGTAAACAAAGAAAATCTTGCAACCATTTGTCACTTCACCCTTTAATGCATGATTTTTTTCCTTTTCAGTGAAAAAATATGGTAGGTTTCACTCACTCTCTTCTAGAGAACACAGGTCAAGTGGAAAAAATATTTTAAAGTCAAATTTGTAAGCAAAAGGCCTGAAAATGTTATTGCTCATTTGCTATAAACAGCATTTTCAGCTTTCTAACCCACACTGTATGGATGCTAGAGAGCTCAGTCGGTCTGTCAACATTTGTACATATCTCAGCACAAAAGAAAACATAAAAATAGGGATGAGTCTGGACCCTGCATTTAGCATAAAGGTTAAGAAAATTAAATTAAAAACATCAATCTACCGTACAATGAAGCAGATTGGTTTTAATTTGCTTGCCACCAGGAGTGTATGGCACCTAGCGACTGCATAGTAGCTGGTATAAGGACTGGACTATTGCACATCTGCTATGAACAGATTTACCTCAGGAGCTCGCAACCTAAAAATTCTTATTTTTATTACAAAAATGTTTATTTGGTATATAGCATATCTGCTACGTCATGCATTAAGGGAGAAAAATTCCTAAATGAAAGTTGAAAAGGTTGCTGCAGAACCATATCCAAGTTGAAAGAGAAAATCAAAAGCAAAAAAGGAAAGTTACAATGCATAAGGTGAGTTAAGTCCATTAACATAACAGTCCAAATCATAAGCCACCACATGCAAACAAAAATATAACATCGGTAAGAGAACTTACTTTTGGAAGGAGACGACAGCATAGCGGTCATTTCCTTTCCCAAGTATCCTCACAGCCATAACCTTCCCATATTTCTTGTACTCATGATACAAGCCATCCTTCACACTCCCATCTGTAGGTTAGCAAAAAAAGTGGCCTTGAAGATAATGTGCCAATTTCATCCCAAATCAATGGTTCTCAAACTCCCTTTCACTTCCATCAAAACCTCATGCATCACAACCCCATTGGAGAACCACTACGCTGCATGAACCAAAATGAAAAGGGGTGACACATACCAGTCGAGCGAGCAGGGAGATTTCGGATGCATATAGACAGTGGCCGTCGGTCCTCTACCTCTCCATAGGAATGTGCATGGTAATGAGAGACCACACTTTGGACCGCCGAAGCAAGTCTGCCTGAACCACTCCCATTTCGACTGTGGAATATGTCACTTTGTTAATATACTCAGTTACTAAATATTGAAGCCAAAAGAAAGTATTTCTTTTAATTTTAATAATCACAAAAACACTTCAGCTCCTGCTTTCTGGCTACCCTGTCATTCTGACAAATCCTATCTGTACAATTTTTGCAAGCATTTATGCTAGCATGTTCCTGAGGCAAACATATACTTTCAGGATCATTCCAAAGAGATTTCTTAACCTAGATAAGATTGTACCATAAAACAATTTCAATAGCACTGTACTGCAAAGTAAATGTTAGCAAAAAGGATAGGTCAGGTCAGGTGGTAAAAACCTGAGCTCTAATGTCTTAAAGAAGACAGACTTAGAAATTATAATGGTGAAGCAAACTTAGCATGAAGTGTGTTTTTCTTATTACCTAGCATTATGAATTAAAGTCAAGGCAAGTCTGGAGTACAGGAAAAATTAAAATAAAAACTTTTAGAAATTCCTAAACATCACGAGTAAAAAGTAGCATATCCTAGCTTATAGCTTTGAAACACTTCAATGAGTAAACAGCTATTTCTTCTATTTCACTCTTACTTCATTGGGACTTTCATAATACACATATTTATTTTTATCAGAAGCACTCCCCCTCTATTCATAATACAAATGTCTGACATGGCTGTTGACTCATTGAAATAACTCATTGAAAAGCTAGACTTTTCTACATGGAAAGCATGCAACATAACCTAAGGAAGTAAAAATATCAACTTAATTATGCCTTTTTTTCTTCTAATACAAGGCCTGATATCCTCATTTTCTTTTCTTGCCTCTCTTGGCTTGGGAATAAGTCAAAGCCTATTCCCAACTCCAACTTTTACATATATTTTTCCATTTTCCACCTCTTTTTTCGTTCCAATAGCTTCAGGTGTGCAGCTAGTACACACCCCCAAAATGTACAAGGAGCATGTGCTTTGTTCACTCTGTAACTGCAAATGAGTTAGGAATTGGTAAAACTTTCCATGCATCTCAGCCAGACCATATTGTCAACATTACCTGAAAAGGTGATGTTGATAATATGGTCTGGCCATGACAGGAGATGCTCACAATCATGATTGTAATCAAGAAATACTCATAATTATGGAAATATCCTATTTTTAGCCTGCAATTGAACAGTCAACTTACTAGATACATTTTCCTTTCACAATATCAACCAAAGCATCACTTACATAGATGTAATCAGATAATATTTAACTAAAGCATATTAAAGCCAATGATTCCAACTAAGATTAATCAGGGTGCTAGAAGCCTAGAATCAACAGTCTGATACTGCATTCTAAACTGAGGCATGCTCTTCTCTCATGTCATGCTGCAAATGTTCTTTGGCAAGGTGACACACTTCTTTTAAAAGCATACTTTTCTCATTGGATGAATAACCAAGAGCTCAGAAAAGGAAACATGATCATGTGTGAAAAGTCCCCTATGCCCTGTCACTTGAGAATCCTCCATCACCCCTACTACCTCTATTTATTTATTATGCTAGAAATTTCATTCCAAGCAGGACTGCCATGCAGGGACTGAAAAACTCAATCGAATTAAAACAATTTACACCTTGCAACTCAATTTTTGCTACATTACCACATACAGTCACGAATTCTACTTGCAGAAACTCCTGCACAATACAATGATTTTCTCAAAATATATGCTTGATGATATCAAACAAATTTATCCATCCAGAATCATACAGGTCCTGATATTTTGAATTGGAATTTTCTCAAACATTGACATTCCAAAATTGAAGTCACTATATTCATTTTCCAGGATTCAAGCTCCACCAGCAGGAATGTTTGAGCATAGGCAAACTGATCATATTGATCATACTGTATTGTTTCAACCCTTTCACTGCCAAAGGTGACTTCAGTCACCCATAATTCTATTACCTACTCAAAATTTATGCAGCAGAAGGGTTAAGTAACTCACTGCTTCTTCAATTTGCTAATATATATTTTTTTCTGAGGACCTTTCCAAAACTCAACATATGATTTTAATGTTACATGAGTTCTTCATTGTGTGTGCAAATATCAAAGTCCATACCATGGTAAAATATCAAAGGAGACCATACCATATTTAAATGTAAACCATTTTCATGCCTAAATTGTGCTGAAGGTAAGGAAGAAATATTCCATTTAGTTTCGTGGATTCAAGAAAGCTTAAGGAAACAAGTAGATACTTCAAAGAAAGTCTGGCTTATAATTAACTATGTTTTGAATTGATACTAAAAAAAATTTCAAAATCAAATAATATTAATAGCATGCACTTCAGTGGTTCTACTTTAAATCAATTTCTCACTTTCTGTTGCATTTTATTTTTATTTTTATATGTGTTCAGTAACTTAACATACAAAGACTAAGAAAAAATGACAGAAATTAATTTGTGGAAATCACTCCAAATTTTCAAAACCTCTAAGTTCCCACTATTTTGATTTTCTCTATATGCAAGCAAAAAGCACTGGCACATTGTAAACATAGCTTTTCATAGTTCTACTGAGTCTATTGAAGGCTCACTGAGGTGACTGGGGAGGTAATCTGCCAATGCCAGGCAGTACCAACCAACAACATTTAGTATTGCAATGTTAACAAATATGAGTCAGGTGTCTCTGATCTTACTCAAAAATGCATTATGAATGAATTATAAATTAAATAGGACATTGAGTTTTGCAAAGTATAATTGCATTAAAATTAAAAATCATTGCATGGAGTGCCTTTAAAGTCTACTCTAGAATATAATGAGAATCTAAGAGGAACGAAGAGGGCTGATGGTGCTACTGATTTAATGCGAAAACCCGCTCCAGGCTAGAGAACTTCCGAGAACCAGTCCCTCGTGTAGAGTCCTATTCAAAGATGTGCCCAGAGGGTATGAATAATTATGGTATGGTGTATGAGTCAGACAGAGGGGTGTTTGTCCTTGGAATGCCACTGCCACTCCCCAATGTTTGCTCACGGGTGTGAGAGCAGAAAGAGAAAAAAAAAGCAGGTTATGAAGAAAAAAGGACTCCCGCTTCCACTTGCGTTTGCAAAGCAGAGCACGAGAGAAGGAAATGGGAAATGAGCACACACACGGCGCTTTGTTCTTAACTTTTTTTTTTCTTTCTGTCTGAGTCAACGAACTACGGGTCTCTCTCCTTGTCTGACCAACCAGGCCCACCTGCAGACACCCCCCTCTCTCTCTCTCCCTCACTCGCTCACATGGTGGATGAAGATAAGGGGGGAGAGAGAGATTGCTCAAGACTGTGTTCTCCTTTCACTCCCCCCCAGCCTCAGGCCTAGGTTTATAACCAAGCTCGGCAGAGCCCTACATCTCTAGAAGGGAAGCGTAGATACCTGGCTGGTGAGGGAGATCTGGAGATGGAGGATTTGCTCTTGGGCGAGGCAGGTGAGAGGGGAGGGGAGGTCCCTGATGGCGGCGGATGCGTACGATCCTCCTCATCCTCACTCCCGAGACCAGTTCCACCGGGCCTTGGGGAATCCCCCGGGACGCTTCCACCGGTCCCGGATCGTCGAGGCGGGTGGGAGAAGGGGGCACGGATGCAAGGCTCGGCGTCCTCCGGACCTTGCCCGTACTTCCCCACCACTCCTTCCGTCCAGCTCCGATACCTGTCCCAGAGGGAAGACAAAAACATGGACACCTTCAACACTCCATTGCATGGGTGGTAACGAGCAGGGAAGCCTTCTCGCGAGCCAAGCAGTCGTCGCCGTCGTATAGTAGGCCTATCTAGCCTACCTCACACTTTGAAGCCTAGGATCCCTTGACGTCATCATCGCTGGATTACGATTTCTTGTCGAGAACGAGAACCAGGTCAACCATCGAAGTCCACAGAATATGTCAAGTCTATCATAGGTTCTTCTCATCGACAATGGGAGGCTACGCCCACATTGCCTCTCCATTGCACGCACCTATTCATGGCTTCACCTGCACACTTACTCCAATTGGAATTGGATACCGAAGGGGATCCGTTTCCAGGGGCTTACCCCATCCTTGTTATAATGTTTCGTGATTGAAATCCATGCCGGCGACTAACTCCGAGTGTCTAACTCCCGGAAAAGCATTCACGAGCACAGCAAAAGTAATTCCATTAGAAGCAAGAAGATTCATTTCATATAGAAACATCCGGGTTTCTGTAAGAGCATTTCCGGAACGTCCGGAATAGTTTTTTCATCTCATGCTAATGCCTCTGCTTCCTTAATATTTTTTCTTCTCCCGCGCATAATCCCAAAATCCGCGACGATACGAGCTGCCTTGCCCCGGAAGAGGTCTCAAGGTCCCCAATTTCGGAGCAATCTTGTAAAACTGGAGATGGCTGGTCGGCGTCACAACACACAACCTGCTGCTCTGTCATGAATGGAGATGAGCAAGGACGAAGCCCTGGCCCATTCACACCGCTCATCCCAGTTTGTGTTTGTACACATCCTCCCTCAATCTACACAGTAGGATTCTTTTCACCCGAGTCTGCATGCTTGCATGCAATTGCATCGCGTAGCACAGTGCGATTCTGATTCATTGGTGAGGGATCAAAACGAACCCAGTCCCGGAAAATATCCCAGATTAAATCTTCGAAATGACGGACTCGATCTTTATTTCGCTCGGCGCAAAAACACAATACCCTAGCATTCATTGACGTTTCCGAAAAAAAAGCTTTCAAACTTGCCTGTCTTCGATATCAATGATAAAATTTCCTACATCTCCTTGTAGCAGTCGTCTTTCCAGAATGGGACGCAACTTTGGTGAGTTTCAAATCATTTCCCGTTCAACTTGATAGTTATAGCAGAATTAAACTGGGGTTCATATGCTTAACCCTTTCAATGCTGAGTTTTTGAAGCTCTATTGGGTAACCCAACGAGTATACTCGTCCGTAGCACGGAGAGGGTTAAGGAATGCCATGCCGGGAAATATGAGAAAAATATAGGTAAAAGGTGGGAAAAAAACAAACGGCTGCTGGATGACTTTTTCAATTCCCCCTGGTATTACATATACATATACGTTTTATTATCTCTATTGTTTTTCTAGCACGCATGCACGTAATGCATGGCCTTTCATATTTTGTTAGCAGGACCTTTTACGGCCAGGCTAGCAGCTTTATTTTATGCCTGATCGAAAACTCGATAAGCTTTCTACAGAATAATGCCATGAATACCCATCTGTTTTCTTTCTCTCCATTTCTCTTTCCCGATACTGTTTCCGGGAAAACTTGCATTGTCCCATAATTCAGTATGGAGTTATGCAGAAGCCACGAAAACCTGGTCACAACGAAGCTCAAAATTATTAACTGAGAATTATTTCTAAGTCCATGATTGTCCTTCGTAAGAAAAAAAAAGTAGGGAGAACCGATTTACTACTGCCACATCCATTAAAAGGAACGAGTAGGGACAGCCGTCCTTGTTCATTTTTGACAGTCCAGGGACCTTGCATGTAGATTTGTAAGATAAACGCACTTGGTATTTTCGGGACCACGGGCAACAGCGACCCTTTTCACTGCAGATTCAATAGACTTACAAGCATACACTCATGCACTGCACGTTTTACCTCGGGTTCCAATAATATTTATCGCGATGAGGAAGATTAACAATACGGAACTTCGGAACATGCACAAAGACATTTTACGAAACTGAACTTAATTGCCCTGAGAGCCAATAGGAGAGAGAAACTCGTGGCAATCACAATTACCTACCTTGAAAATGGCCGGGAAATTGATGCATTTTCTATTTTTCTCAGAAAGTTTCCCGACGCTATGACTACAAGTACTAAAAAAAAAAAAGGGACACGAGAGGCTTTATTAGAGTGCCAAGTAATTCAATATAAAACAGGAATTGTCTACTTCGTGTTTCTCTTCCACCTTGCAAAAAAAAATGCGCCTCCCAATTTCTCTGGGAATCAAATCATCGGAGGAGAGAGAGAGAGGGAAATAGCACCCATTGGTGTTGATCAGGTGTTGTAGAAATGAATGTGTCTAATCAAGCAGAGTCAGACAGTGTCAGGAATCTCTGCTCATGCGGTACGAATCTGAGGGAAAATTCAGGCGTTCCACATTATTCTTTCTGCACCATGGCGTCAGCTGCAAATGCTCTATCTATACGAATCCTTAGACGACATGGCAGGGTATGACGACACACGGAAGGGTTGCCATGGCAACGGAGAGAGGAAAAAATACTGCGTCTCTCTTTCTCTTTGGGTGCTCAGTGTAGCGTGAAGTGCAGAGGGAAACGAAGCAAAGGATTTCCACTCCCCCGAATTCTAACTTCCCCCTCTGTCTCTTTGTGTTCTTCGCATCTCTCTTCATTCTCTTACTCTCCTCACCCCGCTGCATACGGGGAAACACGTGGAAAGACGAAACATCGCCCCTTTCCCCTCTTTGGTGGACTCATTCCGTACCGTGGAGTATCGTGACGAAGTCTCTTCCTCTCGGTTCACCGACACACATAGTTGATGAATCATCTCGCGTCACTTTTTTATTTTCCATTCGTCATGTTGTGATAGAGGGAAGAACCGGCCGATGCGCCTTCCTTTTCGAAATGACGAAACGTGTCATTCTAGTCATGCCACAAATGCGAATATTGTCTCCACGAACCGAGTGAGACCAGCCGCGGCTTACAAGGACGACTGGAAGCTCATCAAATGCACCGGCGGGAGGTAAGGGAGGGGGGTGGGTTGAAAATGGGAATATGGCGACAGGAGGTGGAGCTAGAGAAGGAAATGGCAGAACAATGCTCTTTCCCTCGCTTCGCCTTATCGACTCCACTTCCATGGCTTGATATCGAAGGGGAGATACACAGGCACCTGGGCGCACACACACGCACTCACCCCCTACGAAGGGAGAGGGTGAGTGTGCCTGAAAGCACGTGAATGTGAGTGAGGCTCTCTTCCCTCCCCCGTGACACGGCAGAAGGGACGGGCTCTCCCTCTCCTCCAACGTGGCAACAAGGACACTTCCCGGAACGGCCCTACTTCACTTGTGCTAGGCCTGTATCACTCGCTTCGCTTCACCGGTCCCGCGGCGGTGACAACGGGCGGGAATTCTCTATTACAGAATAGACATGACTTCGTCGAGTAAGCTACATAAGGAATGATAACCGAGGGGGAGGAACTTTGCCGGCTGGATGAATCTCCCATTAGGGGTAAAACGTGATTGAAGGGACGTTATATTCGACATGGCATTGGAGACGGCAACCAGAGAGCGAAACGCTCTACTGAATCATCATTGATCAAGAACCTTCAGCGACGACTGCGTGGGAGGAAGGAGAGGGAGAAATAGTAAAGGAGGCAGCGCCGATCGCTACGATCGTGACTCACCTGTCTATGATATGGGGGCTGGAAAATGCGTTGGGAGAGGCGGAGGTGGAAGATGAGAATCGATGATTGTAAGTTCGATGCCGAGTGTCACCTCCTCTGCACCAAGGGTCCACTGTCACATTCGAGTTCACGTACCCCGACACCTCACTCACCCTGACACATTAAGGTAAGGGAGAAAAAAGTCGTTTACATAAAAGGCAAACCAGCGGGAGTCGTATGAGTGCGAAAAAAAGAGTCAGACAGCCCTTTCATGTGTGGGTGCTAGGCCTAGGTCTATTCATCGACCAAACGAGCAGACAGACGATCGTAATCGTGAAAGAGGGCAGTATAAAGCCAGACTACAGTCATGGAATGGCATTAAGGGGCCTACAAATAGAACAAACGTTAGATGATCATATAAGGTGATTGCAACCTCGACGGCCAAAACGACGAGTTAAAACAACGCGCAAGTGAGTCATTAAGCAACACAGTACAATTCAGCTTCTTTCTAAACTTACAGCGCTTTGGTAAGCCCAAAACACCATACATAATGGAAATGGAATTTCGCATGCTACTGTGCGCAGCACTGACGCTGGACATTGACCGGCTTCATTTTATTCACGAAACCGTTCTCCTGTAAAAATCGGAAAAGGGGAGTTGTAGCATTCTGTCTCTAGACCGCAGATACGCGGGCCTGCGATTCTATGAACACGTGACGCAGCGAAATAAGATCGTTCCCGCGCTCAGCCTTGCGAGAAATTGTACTCCAGGAAGGACGAGCGACGGGATCACGAGATGAGCCATGCATCCATTCATGAGATTCAAGCCATACAATGCCAAATGCTTATCCCGTGGCTTCTCGGAGACAAACACGTTCACGAAATATTTAATCATTATTTCCATGTCCTCGACGAATGACTCGCCGAACCAAAAAAAAATGCAGATACATAAAATCAGGAGAAAAGAATAAAAAATAAAAAAACATTCCATGAAGAAGCGGAAAACCTCGTTGCTCGTACGATGCCTCCGAAGCGACACAAGGGAAAGGATTTGTTGCTCCGCAAGGGCAGGTTTTACTTCCCATGGAAGACCGCGAGGATGATGACCCCCCCCACCAGAATGCCCACAAAAAAAAACAGGAATGTCCATCTATCCCTATGGGACGATACAGGATCCGTGTTCCCACAGGGCGTTACTGTGCTGTTCCTGTCGAACCCATAGGAACTGGCTTCTTATGTAATGGGAACGACGAATTTCTTAAAATGTCAGAATGTGGATTCTTTACCTAACTGAACTTCAACTGAAAATTAAATGTGGCAACTCTGTAGCATCATTGTTAAACAGATAGTTTTTGACCAACCATTACCTTTGTTCACGGTACTGAAACTTCGTTTCCTCAATGGGCAAAGGGAATTTCGGCGTCTACGCCCGTTTGGAATCATTTCGGCGGTGAATATAGAAATGTGAACTTTTGACTCTCAATTGTGAATGCCAAACAACAAGAATAGTGGCCGAATAATATACCTTTCTCTTACCATCCACGCCCAAAACGTCATGTTCACGCTTAAGCATCGACTCGGAAATTGATAGACTTCCTGCCATCCTCACGGTCCAAGCTACTCAATTTACATTAATAAAAAAAAAAACAGTATTATAGTACAGTGTAGTATACAAATCAGTATTGAGAGTTCTGAGATACAGTACTTCTTCCGAGTACAGAAACATCCTAAGCAAATGAAACATCTGAACTTGTCTAAAGGCAAGGAGTATTTTTGAGTACCTATGGGTGAGTACCAACAGAAAGAACTGAAATGTTCTCAATTAAAACGTCAACGGTGATACTAGAGCAAGAACTATCGGACTAGTTTCACCAAGCATTCCACACAGGACTTGCTTACTCACCAGAATCAAAGAGGTGCCCATTGACTTTCCTGTTTATGGTCGTTCTGGATCGCCCCCAACTTACCAAGCCTTAAAGGGGCTTTAACATCCATTAGCCAATCGAAAACTTTACAGAAACGAAGCTAGAACAAAATCGACGAATGAACTCATGGATATTTCTCGCCTTCCGGAGTTTATTAACGATGGAAAACAACGAGCTAAAAATAGCAGCAATAAATGACGCGTCTCTTTCTTTCGTTCCGCCATCGCCTTGCGCTGAAAATACTCAGGAGTAGAATGAACACGAATTGCTCCAATTGAAAGCTGGACTGGAACAAAATAGCAATAAGGAACAGAAGCCGATTACCTTGATCCACACAACTCAATCTCATGGATCAATAGAGCTCCAATCATGTCATGGTGAATCCGAGCTTCCTGGATTTAGGAGGCACTAATGACCCGACGTATTTTGCATGATATAACCATTCGCCTGCAGCACTCCCATGATTCCGTGGCCGAGAAAAAGAGCCTAAATCAATTCCTTTGACGTTGAGGGCTCCTCTAAGGGTAGGCGTATCGATTTCATAACACGAGGGCACTACAGCATATTCATGAGTATGCATGTCATAAAACATTTCTGAGTACACTGAAATAACCATGTCTTGGACAATAATTGATTGTTTGCTTAGTATGAATACAGGACAATAATTTAATTCCTGAATACTTCCATGAATTAGCGGCGTTGCCTCTTCACTCCTCTCATAACCGGATAAAGGGAGTCAGGGGGTTCTGCATATTTTCCTCTTATCACATGCAATCCGTACGCCCAAAAGTCCTGTTTTTCCTTGTTTCTGGGGGCGTGATCACACACGATTCTCTTTGGCATGGAATGATTCACGACACATAACAGTCTTCCTCGGGATGTCTTGCCCCCCCACGTGAGCTGGTATATTTTTCTTTAGCTTTCATCCAATAAAATATCTCCTTGCTCCTTGCACTCGCGTGCTGCAATCACATGAGAACTCATAACATTTACTCCCCATAATTAGGCACACTAAATCTGCTGCAGGGACTCGTATCATTTCCCATAGATAACAATAGTGGATGATCCCAATGACCCGATAAGTGATGAATTTGGGAGCTTGTGGCGAAAGGGCTCGATAGTGGGAAGGGAAATACTTTTTTTTTAAATCAGCCGTCAGCCCAGTCTCAATAATGAATCCCCGGCCTTCATACATGAACGAGAGACCCGATATCGATCGAGGCTAGCGAATGACGGGACGGGGGAGGGGAGAGAGAAAAGGGAGCAGATGTGGAATGAATGCCATCATGGAAGGGGAGGGCAATGGAATGACGAGAAGCGACAAAAAAAGGAAGAGAACCCAGAACGTGATGGATATCTCCCGCCATCTGACATCTCTGGCTCGCTCCTCTTCACTGCAGCGCAATGGGTAGTAACAGGGAAAAGAAGAATAATACTCAGAAATACAATCAAGTACAAAAATAAACATACTCCAAGGCTAGACTTCCTTCTCGAATTATAACGATTCCTAAGAATCAGCCCTCTTCACATATATTCTTTCTTTATTACCATTCTCAGCGTTTTTCTTCCGGGATCCAACCACATGATACAGGTTTTAACCTTGACAGGTCCAGCAAACCACCGCATTCTCATTCAAAGTCCGTTATCTCAATCGGTCAGTCGCAATTCCCTCTCACTCATCAAGATAGAATAAAAAAAACTGCTTTGACCTTGAACGATCCATTCTCCTGTCACGTCTGAAAATGGAGTTTTTCCCTTCTGGGCATACATACTACACTCCCAACACAACGATTATCCTTGAAAATATGATGTTGATCAAGCATAGCATAGTGTGTATTTATGGGCACCATTACCTGTCAGTAAGCCGATCTCTTGTTTTAATTTCTTCCTTTTTCTAATACTCTGTACGTCTTTATTATTAACCCAATACGTACCTAAGTTGCAAATCTGCAATAGCCTGGAGCATTCCCATCACGCTATGGGGAAACTTTATACTTGAAAACCATCAGCGCTCTAGAGTTGCTACATGTCCCACACATTAGTTTATCAGCAGTGTTGCCTTATTCGATTGAATACAGAAAGCAGTGGTCGAAATGGAGGAACTCAAAGGAAAAAATAGCCCGGGGATGTCGACATTCGGTACCCTGACACTGCGCGGAAAAAAAATCCTGTACTATTCGGGCCGAGCAAATCGAGAAAAATTAAATACGCGGTAATCCAGGACGCTGCCACTCTACCAAGCCTTCCAGTCTTTGAATTCACACAATCAGATATACCGTTTCAAGTGCTCAAAATTCTCTTAGAATGAGGAGGGGAAATAAATGGAAAACCTCGTGTAAGGCTCATGTGTTGATGAGGAGACGGCTACTTCTTTCATTTCTACGACTCGTCTCATTAAAGTTATGAAAAGGGAAAAAGGACATGAGAAATGAGGACGTAAGGAATACCATAACAGGATTTCTTCTGTCTTGCTTCCTTTGCCAGAGCCGTAGCACTTACGAGAGCATTCAGTTGGGTGAAAGGCAACATTTTTTATTACACGGGGAAGAACTTAATGCTAGATCCTTGTCTTTTAACCCCCTTGGCGTTTCATTTTCCCGCTTGATTTTACTTTAAAACTCATTTTTTCCCGCCGCATGAAGTATTTAAGCTTTATACTCTCTGTATACTCCTTCTGCTGAAAATCCACACAGTTATTATGCATCTATTGTTTAATGCCTTACATGTAGCACATATAAACAATAAAAACAGGTCAGAAATAAAATTCATACTTATCAGAAATTTCAGAAAATTCGGGTCAAACGCCAAGGGGATTAAATTGTTACGACGAGGTGGAATACTCTTCCAAGAAAAGTTAGAAGGGCAGTCTGGATTTGGATGCAACATTTAAAAATAGTAATAATAAAGTTTATCGCCTATTCTATCTCCTAATCGAAAAACAAAAATTAATTTTTTTTTCTCCCCTTCACGAGAAGTGAGAAGACGTGGAACAGGTAATCACGAGTTCTACCGAGCCAAGGCAAAAATTAACTGCCAATGTTGACATAATGACCGAAGAAGTGGGTGAATCTCTTCTCAGAGTGACATCTCTTAAACATCCTGACCTATTATATCTGTTGAACAAAATATATTGTTAACAAGCCTAAAGGATAATAAAAAGGGGGGGATAAAGTCAATTTTGAATCTGATTTTTTCCTCAACGATAATACTGGGCAACGCAAGAGACTGACCTCACAAATGCTCATGCCGAAATGGGATTTATGGGGTTACTTATAAATACCGACATCCAAACTAAAGCAGTAATGAATGGCGTCATGGGCATGGGATCAAACGCAGGACAAAGCCAGAGACGGGATGCACGTTCGACAAAATCCAGGAAATCATTTTCAGGGAGCTAACATCTACTAGCCGATTGTAAAGGCGATTATTTGAACCTGTCGAGAAGACACTCAGCACTTCCTCTACTTCCTGGAGCCTTCACCAATGGGTTGTCTAATGCGGACTTGGCAGAGATCATAGATGAAGTAAGGTGGAGAGGTCATGGGGGACACGGCGCAATATTTTTTGCCCTTTCCTCATGCATTTGCAGTGTCAAGAAACCTTCCTTTCTCTCATACTTTCTATGCACCACAGAGCACGCCCAATGCGTGCTTTGGACTATTGGAAATCAAGAGCACATTTCTCTATGCTTTCCCCTGACATTCGACCACGACATACGATGTCACCTAAGTACTGTTCTTAACCTGAATGAATATTGGTCACCATAAAACCCCAGTCTCCATCACTCACTTATTATTCATCGTATGGTCTGGTATTAGAGTAGGTAAGCAGGTCATCCATTCGAACAGTATGATCACCCTGTGGATGCGTTGGAGCTTCTCAAACTGACATTTATATCAAGAAAATTAAATTGAAAAAAGATCTCATACTGCAGCTGTGTAGACCCTCGATGAGACCTAACTTTTTTTAAAACGTCTTTTCTTCTTCGTACAACTAAGTAGAGAATGAAGGCCGCAGCAAGCCTGGTATACTTTAAATAGGCGCATTTTTTTAGGGTGGGGACTACAACAATGACTTTCAGGTTGCAGGCAAGGCCAATTTCGGATGTAGATATTGCTTGCGTGAGCTTCAGAGATTATGGATGCAGCACTCGCAACATGTGTCTAGCACGAAATCCTTATCAAAACAGATTCCAAATGTGCGTTGCCCTGGGTTTACACCTTCCAATGGCAGAAGCCGCACGTGTGCACAGGGGGAGTAACGATCCCGATCAAAAACAGCTGTGTAGCATTACTAATCACTTCTTCGAGAGGGTTCAATAAAGGGGAAACTTGGGGGTAGCCGATTCATTTCCGACTCCACTTACATCATGAATTGATAGAAAAGTTCGAGAAAAATAAATACTTGGGTTTAGACCTAATGCGACTGCCCAGTGCAGCCAGGGCAGAGACGCCTCAGTGTAAAAATGCAAGTTGAAGGAAAACTCATCATAACCATAAAGGCAGTATGGATTCCAACAAAGGAAGATAACGTTTGTTGTCCAAGTTTTCTCCACCTTCGTCAGCAGTCGGAAGATTCCTTAGAAAACGAATGTGGGGATAACCGAAAATTATTACAAATCAGGGTAGGGTTTTTTTAAATACAAAGTATGAAGTATAAGATTTGCATGCCCCTTATTCAGAAACCCCCCCCCCCAAATGAAATATGTATGAGTGCATACTTAACGAATCACATCATTCAGTTTTACTCACAATAAGAAACTAAAAAGCAATAGGACTAGATCAAATACGCCTGTTATTTACATGGCTCTCATCATGTTACCCCATGAATTGGCAACATCTTAATCTGACAGATGACTGAGCACCAGATCAAGTTTCCATCATTTCCTTTAGAATTTAATTCCCATCACAAGATTCATAGGGAATAGGGGAAGATCACATTGAATTAATCAATGCAATAGCCCATGATAAGTTTAAGAAAGAATGCATACATATATAGACTAATTACTGGTCCTAAAAGTATTAGTTAAGTTCTCAATGATTGTCAAGCAGGAAATTTTTAAAGATTGAAATTTTTGACTTTGATAAAACCATACCTTTCATTCCTATATTTCTTTCATTATACAGCCATCATCCCATTAAAAAAAAAGGGGCATACCCAATGAAATCAGTCTAAAATCCCCTAAGCCTGCAGATGTCAAAACAAATCTGCTCACTTATAACTGTTACGGATTTACGCCAAGTTACCTTCAACTCCAATTTAAAAAAAACTGGGAATTACCACTACTAGAAATGACCCATGCTTTGAGAATTACAGAAGCATAATCTGAAAATTTTTAGAAATGAAATTCATATTCATGAATGTTTTCATT